GGTTGGCATATCTTAACTCAGTCCAGTCCTCACGATTCCTTGCAAGGACACGGAATTCTTCCTCCCATTTCAGAGACATGGGAATCAGGTCCCACAGTCACATAACCAAGTTTCCACAGGGAGGAAGAGGAAGAGCTAGGTTCAAATCCAGTCTGAGCCCACAGAGGGGCCTTCACCCCATGGCCTTTCTCAGGCCTCTCTGACCCTCACCAGAGTGTCGGGGTGCTGCGGCCGAGGGACAGCTCCCCCTGCCCCCGGGGGCAGGTCTCTGAGTAGCAGCTACCCTGCTCACTGATGAGGCCACTGGGCCTCTATCTGTGAAGCCCATCTTTTTAGCTGCTCCCAGGAGTTAGTGACGAGCTATCTTTCCTCAAGACTCAGCTGCTGAACTGTGGTTGTGTGTGTGGTCCTTAAATCCGTGTAACTATGGGGGTGCAGTGAAGAACGTGGATGAGAAAGAAGTCAGTGAGCCAGAAGGCTGAAGGGGGACAGATGGTGACTTCCTGTGGCTGCAATGCCCACTCCTCCCCTCCATTCCTCCTAATTCTCTACCTGGGGCCTGAGGAAGCTTTCCATCCCTCAGTCAGCCCTACTCTGTACCAGCCCCTCCTCTCCAGCACACATACTCCACACAGCTCCACACCACCCCATGTTTCCATAGCAACCCATGCAGGGCCTAAGCCCCAGGGGAGAGTATCCCTGGCATAGAGTGACCACAGCTAGCTCCCTCACATCCTAAAGACCTTCTGCCCCCAGCTCCATGCCTCCCTGCCCCCACAGCCTGACTGCCTGTCCTTCTCCCCAACTCGCACCATTACCCTCAGAGGCTCTAAAAAAACCACAGAAACCCCTGGTAACTCTTCCCAACCCTAAGAGTTTAGCAAGCAAGAGGCCCAGGAGCATGGCTCCCTGCCCCCCAATGCCTCCTGCACACCCAGTGGCCAGGTCACACCCCGGGGTCTGACATCATGTGCCCAGACAGCACCACCCTGTCACCTCCCACGCCCCCTGCCCCCACACTCCACCATCTCCCAGAGCCGCAGTCCCCAGAGGCCAGGTGTCTAGAGCATTCCGCGGGAGGGAGGCAGCCACCATGAGGATGTTCACCATCTCATTATTCCGAGATACCATGTGCCCTGGCAGCCTCCTCAGGCCTCAGGACCAAGTCCTAGAAAACAGCCGAGGGAGACCATCCAAGCTGCTCCTCCTGGCAGCAGGCAGCTCCCCTGGGAGTGCTGGTATCCCACCTCATGGCTCTGGCCTTTTCTAACCCAACAGCAATATGACAAAGTGAGGGGGGGCGGGGGGACTGTTACGAGTGTCTAACCCCTAACCCTAACCCTAATAACTGTGTATCTTCCAACTGCCCCGGGGCTCTAAATTGCTTTCAAAAGACCTAGCCCCCAGCACCACCTGCCATACAGCAGGTGCCCAATGTGTGCTGAACAGAGTACTAAGCACCAGCTCCAGCACCTCAGAGAAGCCCAGCTAGCGGAGGGGCCGCATGGGGAGTGGTCCCCACGCTAAGCAGAGCCTCCCCTTCACCACTTGCTCACTTGCAGCAGCAGCAGAGCAGCCGCCCACCCCCTGCCCCTTAGCGGACACGCTGGTGCCTCTCCTCAGAGGTGACGTCAGCACCCAGCGGCACCTTGTCCTCCACCCCTTTCCTGCTCAAAGAAAGCACCCGCACGGGGCTCCAAGTCCTCCAACCGGACTGGGCAGCTCTCTTCCCACCCACCCCAGAAGCTGCAGGGTCGGCCCTGGAAACCATCCTGCGTGGTGGTCAGCTCGCACCCTCACCCTATTACTGCCCAGGACCCCACCCCGCCCTCTTTCTCAGGGGCGACCGCCTCGCCCCCACCTCAGCGGACCTCGGGCTGGCACTGCGCAGACCCGCATCCCAGGCTCAGTCTGCACCTGACAGCTGGAGGGTGAAGAGCTGGCGACATTGAGAAGGGCGCTGGGAGAGACCCCGCCCCAGGAGAGCGCCAAGTGCCCAGCCCTGCGGTGCCCCTGGCATCTCTGGAGCGGAGCTGGCCCAGGAGTTGAGACGCTTGGAGGTAGGGGGGGAGGAATGGGGATGCAGCCCCTCCCGTTGTCTCCGGACCTGCCAGCTTAGCCCCCTCCCCCGAGGTCCATGGATGAGCACGCACTCCACCGCCCGGCAGACTGGGCATCGCCCCCACGCTCACCCCAAGGGCACTGCACCTTACGGGAACCGGCCGGCGAGGGGAGGCGGCAGAGGGACGGGCTGATGCTGCAGGCGCAGGAGACCCCTCTCCGAACTGTGCCAAAGCCCAAGGTGGAGACCTCTCCCCCAACCCAGGCTCCAGACGCTCACCTGCCTGCAGTCCCTGGAGACCCGGCAGCTCGGCTGGGCCAGGAGCCCCAGGGTCGCTGCGAGGCCCCTGGCTGGACCGAGCAGCTGCAGCCTCCCAGGCACAAGCCTCGCCCCCAACGAGACCACGCCCCCAACGAACACGTCCCGCCCCCACGTGACTAAACACCACTGCAGCCTCCCAGGCACAAGCCCCGCCCTCAATGAGACCACGCCCCGCCCCCACGTGACTACACACCACTGCAGCCTCCCTGCGGAGCCCCGCCCCGGGGCGGGGCCTGCTAAAACCCTCAAGCCCCGCCCCAGCACGTGACCCGAGAGCAGCTGGGAGGCTGCGTGGTTTCAGCTAAGCCGGGCGACGTCACACCCGCCCTCCCTTTGAACCACCCGGTCTCAGATCTAGCCACCTGCTCCCCAGAGTGGCCTCCGTCCTGGCCTTGTCTGGTGGGTCACCTCACACCTGCTCGCTCGTGCCCACGTATTTTCCTTTGGTCGCACCCATTTTTAGTGGAGAAACTTTTAAGTCCAGATACATGTCCATGGTGTGCACTCTAGAGAACTGTGTCACTTTCATCAATCCCAGCCCTTGGTGAGTGTTAACATCAAGACGACAGTCTCAACGCCAAAACTCCTGATTGACAAACTATGGTATTCTCCCCATTTTCCTGACCTGCTCCTCCCTATGTGGTGTAGCTATTAATGCCTGTTTCCAATCTGGTTTGTGTTCATCCTGAGCCTGCTCAGCCCTGCACAGGCGAGTGCACTGCAGCGGTGTGAACTTGTATGTGTACGCTGTGTACCTATTTGCAGATGTGCACGTGTTCACTAAAGCAGGGCTGGAGGTGAGGTCAGTTTCATATATAACCTTTTTTTTTTTTCCCTACAATAAATTCACCACTTAGCTTAGTTTCCAGGTATCTTTTGTAAGATGTATGAAAATCTAAATAATTGTGATGTACTTAGGGAGTGAGAAATTAAGCTAAATGTCCGTTTTATCAGACCGTCAGAGAAAAATCAAAGTATGTATTTAAGGAAGTGAAAATTACAAAACAGGTTTTTCAAAGGCAGTCCCCAAAGTCCCAAACCTTCACTAGGTCAGTACAACGATTGAAATTTCTTTTGAAAGCCAAATTTTTTAAACTTAAACTTCTAACGCCACTTCTTCAAAACAGACTCTCCCAGGCCATGGTATTCTGTGAAAGAGCCACACTCAAGGGGCCAAAGAGCCGCAGTTTGCTGACCACTGCTCTAGGTGGTTTTTTTTTTTTTTGGGTGGGGGGGAGTCTCATCAAAGGGAAATCCCTGAGACACTTCACATCCTTTCACTAATAAACACAAATCACCTTAGAAAAGGCAACTCAGCCAGTGAAGAGGGAACACTAAAGCCATGTTAACCAAGTGTCTGTCAACGCTATGCTGAAGCATCGTCTATTTTGTCAATCATCATACCACAGCTCGATACAAAACCTCAGAAGTTGTCAGAACACAACTAACCAAATGCATTTCACTCCCCTTTTTAACGGAACTCTAAATGGGGGCCATGAAATCCACCAGGAGAGCCCCCTTTAGTTCCAGGACCAGGGAGGGATCTGAGCTTCTGTTCTCCTGCCTCAGGGGCAATGTTTACAGAGATGCACAATGTGCTTACGGTCTTGGCTTTTGTCTTTATCATTTAAATGCCCCAATTCTGTTTTTGTGTGCACGGCTTTAATTCCCCCCTTGGTGTGGGCTAAAGGTTAGCTGTCAGCAGAAGTATTCAGCAGATGCTCCCTAAGAACAGTCCTTAAATAGCAGGGGGCAGGGAGGATGGTAAGGAAAAAACAACACACTAATTTAGCGGTATGGTGACAAGGTTTTCCTATCTAAAGAGTATCATCTTAACACCCACCTCATGGCAAGCTCCGGCTCATGTGGCAGGGGAGCAGGAGGCAAAAAGCAGCAGGATTATTGTTAGCAAAAACAAAACAAAACAGAATCCAAGTCAGGATGCCCTTCGCAGAGAACACAGCCACAGCCCGACCTCTGACAACTGTGCTTCTGCAAGAAAGACAGGAGGCCAGACCGCCCGGGGCGGAGCAGGAGTCCCAGTGCTTGTAGCTCAGGAACCGGTTCCAATAGGGGATGTGTTTTTTAATGACCGTCAGTATAATAAATGCCTTTCTAACAATTCAGTGAAAATGCCACCCTCTTTCCTGTAATAAATTTCCTGGTTTGTTTTACATTTTACTTAAAAACAGACTCTTTCATCAACATTATACAACTTAAGGTTGATTAGGGATAAGGCACACAAATACAATCAAATTTTCACTCACCTTTGACTTTTTCTATGTGCACTCTGCCTACTCCCCTTGCCACCATCTACCACAAGAAAACCAAGAATGATCTGTGGGAGAGCTGAGGGTCCTGGGTGGGAGTCCTGCCTATGTCACTGACTCCGTGTCCTCAACCACAGGGTGAGAGCAGTATCACTACCTTGCAGGACTGTGGAAATTAGAGATATTACGTAAAGTTCCTAGTTCGGGACTTAAGACACAGTTATTACTATTACTATTTTCAGCCTCATGCAAAAAAAATACCTAAAATCACAAACTGGCAAAATAATATTTATGTGATAAATATCCAAAAATTATTTTTAAAGAAAGATACACGAGCCAATCTTATAAGATTCTGAAAACCCTGTCACCTGGTTTATTTCTGGAGAAGGGTAAAGGGAGAATAGTCACTTGAATTTGAGGAGCAGCTAAACTGGAAGCCACAGTAGCAGCAATTCTATGCCTCCAAGGTTCCTCTGATCCAAAGGGAATGCTTCAACTTCCTTGTTTGATTCAAGAGTCTAATTTTTTCCTAGAGCAAGATCATCCATTTTCATTGGGATAAAAGAATAAAGAACAACAAACTCAATAGCACCAAGTGAGTTTAAAACAGAAAATAGGACCCAGCTTCTCCTATCAGATGAAACTCTTCCATCAAAACACGTTTAGAAGTCACGTGGTCTTTCCTCTTGAGTCAACCCTCCTCCCTCGCCCAGCAGGAGCCCCAGGAGCCTGAAGAGCATGTGCATCACCAACCAGAGGAACAGTCAGCCACCCCCGCCACAGGACAGAACACAGGCCTAGGCTCTCAGGGAGAACGGGTACTGAGGGTGCCACCAGTCAAAGAGCCGAACGCTGTGCACCGGGTCCAGGATGACTTGCACACCCTGCTCACTGCGCAGTTTCCGACCCCCGTGCACAGGAGTATCTTGGAACACCAGCCTCACTCGATGATGCCGCATGTCCGTGCTCACACTGATCGTAAACTGGAGGGAAGGGAAAGCAAATGGCATTACATCCCACACCCAAACTGAACAACCTTGTTCTCCTACAGCCCCCTCTGAAATGAGACAGTCTGGAAAAAATTTGCATTGGCAAGGCCACAAGATAATCCCTGAAAAGATATAAAAAATTAAGTGTGATTTTATAAGTTCTGCTTAGTTTGATATAGTATATAAGTAGGCTAAGGAATGCCTCTCCAATGGATGAATAAATCAGGATATATGCACAAAGACTACCACCAAAGCCAACTTTTAAATATTGGGTGAGAGCTGGATGACTCGAAGGGATTTTAAACAGATATTGTTGAGCAAGTGAAATCAAGATTCATAAAACACACCCAGATCCCGTTTTTGTTTTCTCAGTAAAATATACAAAACCTCTAAATGTTAATGCATGTGCAGGCCACAATATGGGTATCAAGTACCTGGTGTGTGAGTGAGACACAGCTAGGTCAGTAACGTGGCCTGCCTAGAGGAAGGGGACAGGGGCCTACAATAAGAGCAGCATGGATGACATCACACCAACTACTGCAGAAGGGCCGAGTGCACATGCACAGATCAACAGACGCATTAAAGAACAATCCCCAATGGTAAACTGCAGCGGTAAGTTATAGGTGCGCTACTTAAATTCTTCAAATGAAGTAATATGTATTATTTATTTTACCATTAAAAAAAAAAAAAAAGCTATATAGGGCTCACGTATGGCCACATCCTTGTCCCTAGTAGGATAATGTTTCTCACATTATCAATCTCTACAAAGGAGATGCAGAAACATTCCCTTTGCTACAGAGAATAGAGGTAAAATATCTCAAACATGTGTAACTTCTACACAAATTTGTCTGTTCCCAATACACAAGTCTGCTTTCAGACTTTTTAAAATCTTCATTAAAGATTTCTTCTTCAATGGTTAAATCTACAAATTTCTTTCAAACCCTAGGTACAGTTAAGAGTCTGTGCAAGAGTGGAAGAGACACCTTGTCTCCACTTACCAGGGTGAAAACCATCCCCATGACAATGGGAATAAAGATGAAATTGAGAGTGGTGACCTGCAGGAGGCAGCAGTCATGGTCGGGGTTGGTGTGAACATCTTGGTACTGAACAGGAGGCTGCAACCCTCCCACGTACTTGCTCTTTAACCTGGGGGACTGAGGAGAACGGAAAGTTAATCTCATGGCTAAAAGAACATGTTCATGGACAAAACTCCACCAATGAAAATTCTATGGCTCAACTGATGCCGAGACCCGTGTTTCTGTTTTCTCCTCTTTTCCTATGTACATGTTTGTTTCCACAGAGGTCAAGAAAACCTACTCTTTGAGAGGGGCACCGTTGGATAGGCAATGTGGCAGGGGGTGCAATGCTGCAGTGAGATGGTTGTTTCCTGCCACCCGACAAGAAATGGGAACGTACAGCTCTGTCAGAGGCTCTCCAGCGTCTGGAAGACTGAAAACTCCCTGTGATGCCCACTGCAGACGTGTGCTGTACAAAGGGCGGCACCATGGCTTCCGCTCCCAGGCATCCTGCATGGCCGAGCTCCTGGGCCAAGGGCCCACCCTCTGCATTCACCTGCTACCCCTGTGTTCTCTCACAGGAGAGTTCCCTCTTCATCTTCTCTTCACGGCAGTATTACAGGTTTTGATGTGTATTGTATTTTAATAAGTTAACTTTATGCCTACTTCAACTTACTACAACAAATATCTGAAAAACAAAGAGGAGATACAATTACGTACCTGTTTTTTAAACTTGAAGTTGAATTCCCACATTGGTTCCTGTCTGTTCCCAACAATCTTCCGGCACCAGAAAAGCAAGCACTATAAGAAAACAAACCAAAAATAAATAAAAGACAAAAAAGAAAAAAAGTCTAAATAAGACAACAAAAAAATAATCAGCAGAACCCTTTCTGGTTGCCAGCTCCAATGCTATGGGCTCGCTCTGGCAGATAGAGGCCCGCCCCCCAATTTGATGCTGTGCAATGTGAAGAGACAGTCCCAGGGCGACTCAGTCCAGAGAAGAGGGACCAACGTTAAGTCAACCTCAGAGGCTGTGCAGTCGACCCTCCTCTTTGAGGACAGAAACATGGTCTCTAGGGCCTGGGGCACTCTCTTAGTCAGCAGGCCACTCCACCAGGCAAGATGGGATCCAAGGCAGGCCGAGGAGGCCAGCCTTGGAATCCACAGGCGCTAGCCACTCGGACCCTCTGGGAGCCGACCGCCAGGGTGGACACTCCAGAACCGGGCTGGATTCAGCATGCCCCTCGGTGAAGGCAGGCTACAGCTACGTGTAAGCACAAGAAGTCAAGTACCTCCCAGGGGGTAAGGGGTGGGTCGTCCGCCGTGCCAGCTGTCCTGCCCTTCAGACATGCCCTGTACGTCCTGATGTTCCATCAAAAATAATGGGCTTGGCTTTAAGGGGCAAACACTTCTGCTGCCATCACAACGGCTCCAGTGTCCCACACAAGCTATGCTACTGAAAAGAGAGAGAGGGAGAATCGTATACGAAAAGCTGGAGTCCGGGAACATGGGACCGCTCCTTCAGGCGTGCTGGCAGCTCCCTGAATGCCATGCGACTGTGGCTGTACAGGTGGCAAGGCCACGCGTGGGACAGCTGCACTGCAGGTCCCACGTCCTCTTCAGAGACCTCTAACCACAAGGCACAGAAGCAGCAGCCAGGCAGCCTGGGCTCACTATCTGGGTTAGACGTTAGCTATCATTCCACACTGCCTGTAAGAGCTGCTAGGCGGTGATAAGAGAGTGAAGACACAGGTCCTATAGGACTGGGCACTGGAGCCGCTACGATGTGCCAGCACGAGTTTGCCCGGTGCTGCTCTGCTTCCAGCAGCCGACCTGCCCCTGGCTGGTCAGCGCTGAGGCGATGCCCTCCTCATCAGAGTTAGTCTGACCCTATCACTATCCAGGAGGGTGTGGGGGACTGTAAACGTGACACAATACACTGTCCACTCACATTACAAGCAGAAACAGCTGCTGGGTGAAATTCTACCCTAGCCCTATATCCATCAGCTGTCGTGATATTGAACTGAGCTCCGCTAATGGTCCTGACCACCTCCATTTGCAACCCTGGGAGGAACCTTGATGAATAACCTTGAAATCAGTGGTACCTTCTAATCACTATGTATCAGGTAGAGCATTATCACACTTGGGCTACACTAGGGAAGAAGAATCATTGTACCATCCAAAGCATAGAAACAAAATACAAGAGAGTAGAAAGTGCTATAGAACACCAGATTTTGTGTAAGCTGGGAATAAAAATTACCTACAGACTCAAAAGATACAAAATTTAAACAATATTAGTTGGGAAGGGGGGGGGGGGGGTGGCGGGGACATCAACTGCCCTGAATCATAGTATCTGCCCTACAGAGAAGAAAGAGAACAGACCAAGGATAACATACCTACGTACAGTCAGAATGCCAGCAGATTCTAAGAGAGCAGGTCTACACCAAGACCCTAAAGCAGGTCAACAAGTAGGGAAATGCAGATGTCCATGTCCCGAGAAGAGAAAACCAGTAAGCTGTGCACATTCTACCTCTGCCTCGTGATTAAAACACTTAGAATGACAGCTGAGACCTGTGAGCGTGTTCTTCCTATCCCACACCTTCAAAACCATCTAACGTGGACATAATGCATGAAAGTAAGACAAAGAGAATAAGGAATATGAGACAAGCATGAGGAAGCCAGGCCGGCATGGAGACGTGAAAACCCTGAGCCCTGTTAGTCCCTTAGCAGCCTGGCACCCGCAGGCCTCCCCCCCACCCCCCCACGAAAGCTGGAGACACGCCCCACGTGGATTCTCACTTACTTTGGAATTCTTTAACGTGCTGGGCGTGCTTTCTGGAATGGCTGGGTGTCTGGAGATTCGAGCAGCGAAGGGCTCGTACATGTGGTACAGAGATCGGATCACACACGCACGGAGGCAGCGCAGCTTCTCCATGGACTCTGGGCGCAGGCGCAAAGGCAGGGAGGCGTCCAGCGTGTAGTGCCTGAAACACGACACATTACTCCTACCAACGTGTGGCCTGTCTCTCCGGCTCCAGGTCAGTCTCCTGTGACTCCTGGTCTCCGTGTGACTTCACGCTCTCACTCTCACTCACACGCACACACACACACACCCCACCATCTCTTCACTTCTCAGCTACTGTTGCTATGTTAAACTCAACTTAAATATACCTTATAATCCTGTACTTCTCCATCCTTTTCAAAATTTCTAATTACCTGTATTTCGCCCTAAAAAGAGGAAAGTCTTAGCTTTGCTAGGAGGTCCAAATACTTCAGACCCTGTCCAGAAGACATACCAAGTTCTCTACTTCCTTCCCACCACATTCTGACAGCTCCTAATCTCACTACACTTCTGTACCCAGTATCAAGAACTAGCCCTCCTACTAGTCACATCATCACCCTCTCCTCACCCCTACAAGTGTATGTAGGGCAGCTTAAGAACAAACTATATGGTACTTCAAGACGACCAGCAAATATAAGAAACTAGTCTGGCTGGAAAGACAAAACAGGTGGGCATCTGAAGCTTTTGAAAATCCCAGCTAAGACAACCCCGAGGAAAAATCAAAGACAGTTCTAAAACGTGAAATAACACTTTTGCGGCAAATGGATACTGGATCAGGGGAGGAGATAACCACAGGGAAGACTGTTGCCTCGATGAATTAACGTGAATTTTAAATGAGGGTCTCAAGGAACCCAAAGCCAGGCTCACCCCAGGCCTGGAGTAGAGAAAGTGCAAAGATCACCATCCCAGGAGCAGTTTCACATCACAAACAGCATGAAATCAGCTACACAGACAACAGGGAGCTCCCTGTGGCCGCACCTTCGGTACAACCTGGTCCAAAAGGCAGCAGTGCAAGTGACAGTCCAGGCATTCTTACAAATCAGGGAAAAATTCACAATGTCCTCAGGACGGATGTAGGAGGCCAGCAGGAGCCAAATATCCATGGGGTATTCTTCACCCCCAGCCCCGTCCAGGTCTTCTGAAACAGAAAAAAGAATTATAATCTCTGCCCTTACTTAGTTAAATCACCTTCCATAAACTCTGACCTTCTATTACACATGTATCTAAAACCCCCACACTTAGATTCTCTCAGGTCTTGCACAGCTAAGAAAAAGGTTTAAAGGTCCAAGGAAGCCTCTCAAACTCATCACTTCCTGCTTATTCCAGCTGTTGGAAACGTTTGCTTCCTGTTGCCCCAGTGAATAGGTCTCGTTTTTAAGGCATTTACTTAATAATTATTTATATGCTATTTTGAAGTTTTCAAAGTAATGTTGCATACATTAAATCATTCAATCCAAAAGATAACCTTTAACCTTTAGTTCAGACCTGTCATAGAACTATCCAAAAACCAGATTTCTTAATTCTCTTTCCTGGGCAAAAGCCCCTACACCATCTGCCTACGGCTGCCTCGGCTTCTCTAGGTAATTTCTCCCAGCAGTTCTTTGACTCAATCAGGTTCTTGAGCTGAGTTCCTCTTTTCAGAGACCAAGGCCTCTAAAGAAACATCCTCTTTTCTGGTTCCTACCCTTTCTTGCAATCATTATCAGGCTCTATCTATCGTGTTTGGGCCCCATTACATCACTGTCTGAGAGAGAGGACCCCAGCACTTCCTCCCCTGAGACCCATCAGAACTTTCACGAAGCAGAGTGTGATTAAAAATTTGCCTTGAGAGCCGAAACCGGTTTGGCTCAGTGGATAGAGCATCAGCATGTGAACTGAAGGGTTCTAGGTTCGATTCCGGTCAAGGGCATGTACCTGGGTTGCGGGCACATCCCCCAGTGGGAGATGTGCAAGAGGCAGCAGATCGATGATTCTCTCTCATCGATGTTTCTAACTCTCTATCCCTCTCCTTCCCTCTCTGTAAAAAATCAATAAAATATATATATTTTTTTAAATTTGCCTTGAGGGTCAAAACTCAGTAATTATTAAAGAACCGTGTTTTAAACATAATTATTAAGAAATTTCAAAATGTCGAAATGGAGTCAGTAAGGAAAAGCTTCGTGGCACGTTAAACCCTGTCCAACTCTCGAGATCCCAACTCAGATTCTCTACTGCAGTCGCCACGCACAGGACTAAAGAACCAGCTGTTGGAAACGTTTGCTTCCTGTTGCCCCAGTGAAGCCAGCCAGCACCGTACCTCTGTGCCTCTTGCTCTTCTTCTTTCTGGAGACGGGCCTCTCGTGGATGCTCTCCTCTTGCACATCCATCTCGTCACTGCTGTCCAGGACATCGCAGGGCTCGGCCCCGGAGAGAGCTTCCACCGCGGGAACCTGAGAGGCTTCCAGGCCGCACAGAGATTTTACTGGAAGGAAATAAGGAATGGGTGAGAAGGCAGAGTCCCATCCAGAGATATAAACGGCTTAGGCAGGACATCAGCATCCATGGGGGGGGGGGGGGGGGGGGGGGGGGAACAAAAGAAATAACCAGCATGAGAGTCTGCTGGAAAAAATCTGAGACTCTAAAAAGGAAGAAAATTAAGCATTTTAAATTAAAAAAAGAAAAACCTGGAAAGTAATGGGCAAACGGACTCCTGAAAAGTGCCAACCTCCGAGGCGCAGAAAAAGGGAGTGCATTATTCTCCCACTATAACCTGCATGGGCTGAAACTAAAGGCAGTGCTGTTCTCATTTGCATACATCCTGAGAACCAGCGTTTTGAGTGGCACTAAATCCAGTTTAATCACGTTCTTGGCTTGAAGACAGTAGGTGTCATAAAAACACAAGCCTCTGCTTGAGTGTGACCTATGAACCAGGAGTTCCGGGTTGAGTTCCTGGTCAGGGCTCCATCTCCAGGGTGGGGTGTGCAGGAGGCAGCCGATCCATGATTCTCTCTCATCATGGATGTTTCTCTCTCTCTCTCTCCCCCTCTACCTTCCTCTCTGAAATCAATTAAAATATATTTTTTTAAACACACAAGTCTCAAGGATATGTAAGTACAAAGCTTGAAAGTAAGAGAAACAGGGGAGAAGAAAAAGAATAGACTTCAAGGTTCTTCCACGAGAAGCAAACACTGCAGAGCTCGTGGAGGACACGGCAAACTGCAGGAAAAAGACTAACCAAGCAGAAACCAGTGTTGCTCGGTGGATAGAGCGTCGTCTGCGGACTGAAGGGTCCCTGGTTCGATTCCGGTCAAGGGCATGTACCTTGGTTGCGGGCACATCCCTGGTGGTGGGTGTGCAGGAGGCAGCTGGTTGATGTATCTCTCTCATCGATGTTTCTAGCTCTCTATCCCTCTCACTTCCTCTCTGTGAAAAATCAATAAAAATGACACAGGACATTTCTGCTGCACAAAGTGCTGGCGCTCCCGGAATCTATGGAGCAAGCCCGGGGAGAGCCCACTCGTTTAGGGAAGATGCCCCAAGGGCTGCAAGGACGACACTGATGGAGCCCCAGGAGCAGAACGCCCGGTCCCGCGGCCCGAGCCCGGAGGCCCGTCGGCAGCCTACCTTCCTGCTGGACGGCGTTGGCGACGGCTTTCTTGACTCGTCCGGACCTCACGACGGCCGGGTCCGAGTTGGCATAGTCCGCCACGGTCACTGAAACAAGCAGGAGCCTGTGAGGCCTTCTCCCTTCAGCGTCCCCCCCCACCTCCCCGCGCCGGGCCCGGCCGCCTCCCCGACCCCCAGCCCCGGCGGCCGCTCACCGCCCCGCCCCTCGCTCACCTCGCCCCGAGCAGGCGTCATGGGCCCGGAACTTGAGTCGCTTCCCGCGCTTGGGCATGGCGGCCGGGTCGGGGCGAGGCCGCCCTAGCGGGCCGGGACCCCGGGCCATGTCCTGGGCCCCCGAGCCGGCTCCGGGAGCCGCGGGACAGCGCCGCTCGGCGCCGTGGCCATCCCGCGCCGCAGGACGCCGCTCTCGCGATGACTCATCCCGGGAGCTGCGTCCCACCGGCGCGACGTCCCCTTCGGACGCCAATCAGCGACAGGCGTGGTGACGTCACCATTCTGCGCTGTCGGGGCTGGGTGCTCGGGGCTCCGCGATTTGCACCCTTCCTGTTTTCAGCTCTGTTGCTTCTCCAGGTGTTAACCAAAGATTTCTCTAACCATTGGCATCTTGATTTTTACTTTTTTTTTTTCAATTGACTCGGTGTTTTACATTGAACATGTATCGTAGTTATACTTGGGGAAATATCAATGAAACTATTTTTATTGGGAGAGAAATGTGGCGCCGTTACAGTCCACAGCCTTGGATCTAGATCGGAAACCCGTGGAGCTGATAGCAGGACTTACTCACCGCTTCCTGGGGACCCTCCCTGAGGACGGTGCTAGGTGCGAGGTGGAGTGGCCAGGAAGACAATGGTTGTCAGGGAGGCTGTCATCTGAGAGCAGTGACCAAGTTGGTCCTGCCTCAGAGGATGCATATTCTGCCCCATCCCAGCCTCTCCACTACTACCCAAGCACTACATTTTCTTCTGTTGACTTTGGGAAAAGTCCTGAACACTCGGGAGTGTGGCGCTGAGTTCCTGTGTACCCAGAAAGAAGGAATCTGAGATGGAACTACAGCTCCAGTCAAGGTGATACATGATTTCCTTGATGCCTCTTCACACTCCCTGAGGAACGAAGGTGCCTCTCAGAAAGGGAGTTGGCCTCTTAGATCTCTGACTTGATCCCAATCATAGATCCTTAATAAGTGCCTGTTAGGTTCTCCAGAGAAAACCAACAGGATATATAGAAAAGAGAGATTTATTATGAGGGACTGTCCCATAAAATTATGGAGGATGAGCAAACCAAGACCCATGGTTTTTGCTGTCTATAAGTTGGAGGCCCCAGGAAAGTTGCTGGTGTAGTTCCCAGTCCAAATCTGAAGGCCTGAGAACCAGGGGATCCAATGTCTGAAAGCAGAAGAAAATGGATGTCCCAACTCAAGCAGAGAGAGACCAGCACACACAGCATGGGAATCCCAGAGGAAAAGAGAAAGGGTCAAAGAGAACAGTTGAAGAAATAATGGCTGAAATCTTCCTGAATTTGACGAATAAACAATGAGTGGCCAGATTATTATGATTTCTGAACGCATAGTAATCTGGTCACTCAGTGTATATCCTATATAATAAAAGGCTAATATGCAAATTATCCTCTTGACCAGGAGTTCGACCAGCAAGCAGGCTGGCCAACCACTCATGTCCCCTCCCCTGGGCCAGGCTGGCAGGACCCCACCCATGCACGAATTCATGCACCGGGCCTGATATGAGTTCAGGCATCATAATAATCTGGCCACTCAGTGTAAACTTCCAACAACAAACTCCAAGTAAAATGAACTTAAAAAGACCCACACCAGGCCACATAATCAAACTTTCAAAACAAAGAAAGAATCTGAAAAGCAGTGAGAGAGAGGAATAATCACACACAAGGGATCCTTAGTAAAATCAACAGATAAGAAGGTGAGCTGAAACTTCAGGCCAGGCCAGGGTTGCTGGCCCGATCCCCAGTGGGAGGCATGCAGGAGGAAGCCAATCAATGATTCTCATCGTTGATGTTTCTATCTCTCCCTCTCCTTCTCTTTTCCTCTCTGAAATCAATAAAAATAAAAATTTAAAAACACATTACAGTCCAATGGTAACTTTTCTTGACAGTGTAAGTGCAGACATCTGAGTGAACGCCCATGGTCACAGATGAAGAAGCCGCTGTAGGCCCTTCCCACCGGCGCCAGGGCACCATGAGAGACGTCCTGTGCATGCTCCTCTCTGCAGCGGCAGCACTGTTCTCAGTCTTCTACTTCATTCAAGAAAACCCTTTTGACACTACAAGCTTCCTGTCCTTGGTGAGTACCAGAAGCTGTGGGTCGGGCAAAGTTGAAGTCCATGGACTGAGAAAAAGGAGACAGTGTCTAAGTGTCTGTCTATGTGCCACAGTCACTAACATTGTAGACACTCACAGGAGAAACATGATAAAGCCTGATGACTCAACATATTTTTCTTTGATGGGGCAATAAAGGAGGTGGCACTCTGGAAGAAAGAATTCAGGGATGGGAAGAAATTATACTTCTTTCCTATGGTTTCAAAGTTAACTCACTTTTCCAAGCCAAGAAAAACTGTAAGGGGATGAGAAATTTCACCAGAACCGAGAAAAGAAAAAAAAAGGGGGGTGGGAGGGAAAGAACTTGGAGGGTGAAGGGTTTAGACTGGGGCATTGCAGTGGCATCACTGTCTCTTCTCATGCCTAGCACATGCTTTGCCCTTCATGGGATTAAGTGGCCCATATCAGACTAGTCAGAGAGATGACTGTGGGGGAAGAATGGCGTGAACTGAGACGATCTCATTTCCTATATGTAACCTGGACTCCCTTCACCACAGCACCCATAACCTGTACAAGAATCCCAGGGTAGGACTTTATCAGAAGATAAGGGAGAAACCTGAGCAACCTGCCTGTATCCTGGAGACGTTTTATTATGTGATGCAGAGCAGAACCCACCCAGCCATTCTTCTCAAAGGGCAGTACTCAGAGCTGCAACTTACTCTCTTCTCAGGAGGAAAAGGAGCTGGTAGCTTGGCAGAAAGCGCGGATGCGGGTTAACCCTGGTAGGACACGCCACCTGCAAACTTTCAAAGTTATGCAGAAAAACTCAGAACGACTCAAAAACGTGAACTCCTATATCTTGATCGGAGACCCTCCAAGGAAAAAAAGTGAGTGTGCACAAGGGGTCTAGACCATGAAAGGGCGGGACAGACAGGTGGAGAGCAGGGACCTATGACATCTGGCATAGTAGACCACTCCCCTGTCAACACTCTCTCCGATTCCTTCCAGGATCCCAATCTCTGGTTTCCCTCCAGCCTCACTCACAGATCCTCAGTGTCTTCTGCTGGTTGATCTTCTCTCTCCGGCATCTAGATGTTGAAGTGCTCAGAGCTCAGTCCTTGTCTGGACTGCCTTGGTGGCCTCACCCAATCTCACAGCTTTAAGTACCATCTATAGGCCCATTACTCTCACAATACAGCTCCAGCTAGATCTGTCTGTGGTCTTCACTGACCCCTGCAGTGTCCTTTTCCCACTACGGTAAAAGGACATAGATCTTAGCTGTCGCTAAGATCTGTGTCTAGACAACATGTGGCCTCTGATCTGTCAACTCGGTTGGACTTTGCTGTTCCCTCTGCTCGGCAAGCTTCCCTTTGGGACTGGACCCTCCTGAGGTCAGCCTATGGTACTCAATGGATCCTCATAAGTTGCAATGATAAGAAAAAAACAAACCATAACAGAATAAGCTTTTTCTGACTCAAAGAGTTTTAGAATTCAAAGGGCAAAACAAAGCTATTATGTTAATAAAATACAGTTAAGTTCAAGGGGGCTGAAGAATGTTGGCCTTAATTATACAAGAACTCTGCCCTGGCTGGGTAGCACAGGCCTATTAGAGTGTCATCCCAATATACGAAGGTTGCAGGTTCAATCCCTGCTCAGGGCGCATACAGGAAATAACCAATGAATGCTTGAATGAGTGGAACAACAAATCAATGCTTCTCTCTCTCCCTCCCTCCTTCTCAAATCAATAAATTAAAAAAAAAAACAAAAAAAAAAACAATAACATAAGAATGCTGAATAAAGAAAAACTTTTTTTCTTCAAAATCAAATGCTTTTTATTTTTCAATTAGCAATAGTCCCACTTTATATAAACCTCACTGGCTATGATGCTGTACTTTTTTAATTAAATGCGCTATGAAGTATCAGTATGAACTCATGATGGTATTTTCTCTCTTTAGAAATATATATTTTGGTTCTATCCAATGTCCTAGAAGTGAGCCTTTGTTACATAAATACTGTTTTCCACTGAAAATAACCGGGCTGATTCCAGGTCCAGGGCGGGAAACGTCCCATCAGATAGCAAGAAAGCCTTTAAAAATGACTGAATTTGTATCAGAAAGACTCAGGATCCAACTTGCCATGTTAGCTCTGCCCTCTCCTCCTGCTGTGTGAGGGTTCTTGCTCCATCCTGGGGTCCCGCCAGCCCAGGACTCACCCATAGCCTCTCCCCAGGCAGACCTTCCACTTTACGTAGAAAATCGTAGCACTTTTTTGCCTGCGATGGATGTTGCCACAGCCAGCCCCTCAGTGGTCAGTGGCCCAGTGGTTCTGGAAGCAGTCCTGTGGCTGATTTACCCAGGGGACCGTCCCAGAGCTCACACCTTTCGTGTGGAGGCTCGAACTTAGAATTCCTCTGAGGCTTTCAGTATGAAACGACATCTGTGCATTTGTTTTCTCCGTGTGTCTTCTGAACTACGAATTCTTCTACTTAAGACTTTTTCGCCACCCCCCGCCCCCCTCGTTCCATGTTCTCTATCTTCTGGGAATTCTGCAAATATTACAGTTCTCTAATGGCAACCTTTCTGGTGTTTCAGTGGGACTCTGGTTGAGGAGACATAAATGCAAATGTTTTTAGTTTATCATCTTTATTTCTCCAACAATAGTTTCTCAAAGGTAATGATTATTTTTTTTAACTCACAACTCATGACCAGATTATTAACTCCTAACATAGTCGTGGACTGGGGGAGAAAATGTACAATAACCACAGGAAGACATTAAGTTGGTGTACGCGAGTATTACGACCTTACCCGTAGCAGCTATGTTCCTCACTTCCGTAAGCTGACAAAGGTCCTCTCTTCTTCCCAACCCTAGAACTGCTGACCATAGGGATTTCCTCAGGGCGGCATCCTGAAGGGAGCAACCTCGTGGACACCCTGCAGTCTCTCTTCTCTGCTTCCTCCTCATCCGAGCGGAAACACTTCACGGTTCTGGTACACCTAGCAGACTCTGACCCCAAATGGCTTGTTCAGATGATGTACAACCTCTCCACCATGTTTCAAGCACACATCCAGGCCAGAGAGCTGGTGGTGATCACTACTCCTCTCACCAGCTACCTCCCTTTGAAGGATCTTAAAATGACCTTTGAGGACCTTCCTGGCCACGCAGCCGTCCGCTCCAAGCAAAACATGGACTATGCCTTCCTCATGAACTTTGCCACCCAGCACTCCGACTACTTCCTGATGGTCGAAGACGATGTGAAATGTGCCCCTGGATTTGTCACCCACATAGCTACTGCAGTATCGGCCTGGGCAAACAGACCCTGGCTGACTCTGGAGTTCTCCCCGCTGGGCCTCACCGGGAAGCTCTTTCGAACAGGAGACTTGCCCCGCTTGGTTCACTTCCTTCTCCTCTTCTACCAAGAACTGCCCTGGCACTGCCTCCTCGCCCATTTCCAGGACCTCACACGGCACACACCAGTTGAGTTCCTGCCCTCACTCTTCCAGCACGTGGGCAACTCGTTCTCCTTTAAGGAAGAGGACGCTGGCTCTCCCAGCAACCCTGCCGCCTCCATCCACACCAGCCTGAAGGCTGCCAACGACTCGGTCCCCTCACATGCCTACAGCCTGAATGAGACTTTCTTTTACACCCAGGCGGCTGAGCCTGGCAGCCATCTGACCGTGGTTTTGGATGTACCTGCCCACGTGTCCCGAGTTCAGGTGCTGACTGGCTCTGACCTGAGAGGCTGGAACCAGCTGGAAGAGGGACAAGTAGAACTGGGCTGTGACGCTACAAACAGGGTCAGTGACTGTGACGACTACACTCTGCTGGGGCTGGTGGTGAATGGCATCCTGAACAAGCAGGTGCTATCTCCCACGTTGTCAGCGAAGAAGGTGAAATGTGTGAGACTGCTTGTGACAGCCGCTGCTCCCTCCGGAATAGTGGTCAGGCACATCCACCTCTGGACCAACTGAGGTTTGAGTGATAAATGGAGAAGCCACCAGGAGAGCTGGGAGTGGTCAGATTGGAGGTTAGAGTCTACAGAGGTTAAATAATCAAAACATTAAAATACTGAACATGGGTCCCTTCAGGATTGTTCATTCAGAAGAGGGGTGTTGAAAGGCAGAGTGCTCTTGGTCCCAGAACCACTGGTGGACGAGGTGGGCGTGTTAAAAGCCTTCCTGGTTTACTCACCAGACGGTCTACCATTCGGAATTCTTCCCTTGGAGCAGAAACAGCAGGACCATGTGGGTAGAACTGATGGATGCTCACATCATACGACAGGAAAGGGGTCTCTCCACCAGCAGAAATGGACTCATTAAAGGCGGAACTTCCTGTGTGGCAGGAAAGAAACACAACTGTGTGCTCTGTGGTCTCATTTCCCATTGAAGGTGGCCATTCGATGCAATCTACTGATCCCTTTATGGTCAGGCAGAGTCCTCGTCGCCATGGTCACCCAACATGTCAGGTATTCCTTTTCAAATAGCCTCCAAGCTACTGAAAATCATTTGTTCTGATCTGTGATAGCTCCTGTCCAGCAGTCTTATCTCTGGGACTATAAGGTAATATAGGTTTCTGATAGGAAAACCTTTGGATATTTTACTTCTTTTTTTTTTAATATATATTTTATTGATTTTTTACAGAGAGGAGGAAAGAGGGATAGAGAGCTAGAAACGTCGATGAGAGAGAAACATAAACCAGCTGCCTCCTGCACACTCCCCACCGGGGATGTGCCCGCAACCAATGTACATGCCCTTGACCGGAATCGAACCTGGGACCTTTCAGTCCGCAGGCCAACGCTCTACCACTGAGCCAAACCGGCTTCGGCTTACTATTTTTTTTTAGTTCAGTTTGGCTATGAGATCTTTATTTCCATAAAAACCTGAGTCCTGAGCTCAGCTAATGTGCAGTGTCTAGTTTTCACTAGCTTGTCTATAATCCATGAAGGCGGAGAGAGGAGAAAGGAAAGGAGAGCTCTGAGAGGGATATTTGGGAAGAACCTGGCCAAGCCTTCCTTCGTCACTCCCACCCTTGTCAGACCTTGACGGCAATCTGAAGCCTCCCCTGCCCCGTCCCCTCCACCAGTGAAGCTCTGGGATGCATGATCCCAGGCTCCTGTCAGCAGCTGGGTGGGTGTGAACTGGCATAGGGGCGCTCAGAGTATTCTGGGGAAATGGACAGCAAGGTGGGGATTTGGGTCTGGCTTCCTCATGATGCTCAGGTAATTGTGAAAATAGAGGTTAAAATAGGTTAACAGAACAGCATCACTGTGGGTAAAGTAGGTAAGGAGAGGACAACCACAAAAGGTAAAAATGGCCCAAACCGGTTTGGCTCAGCGGATAGAGCGTCGGCCTGCAGAATGAAGGGTCCTGGTTTGATTCCGGTCAGGGGCATGTACCTTGGTTGCGGGCACATCCCCAGTGGGGGTTGTGCAGGAGGCAGCTGATAGATGACTCTCTCTCATCGATGTCTCTAACTCTCTATCCCTCTCCCTTCCTCTCTGTAAAAAATCAATAAAATATATATATATATATTTAAAAGTAAAAATGGAGGGGCAGGAGGTTGACAGTCACCCCAATAAGACGATCCCTTGCTTGGTTCTGGATCTCCAATTTTCAGGTCCACGTGCACTGATGGAAGAGGTGGGCAGGCCCCTAGAAGGAAGGTCCCTGAGACACAAATTCTGTAAGATTCCCCAGACGCCCCACCACCACCAGCCACCACAGCGCCTTGCAGACATGTACCTGGGGAGCTGTAAACTGGGGAAAGGGGAACACCCAGACATTTGAGGAGGTCACCAGTTCGATTCTGTCAGGGCACATGCCCTATGACTGGATATCCTGGGACATGGATGGTTCCTCCAGGAGCCGTGGGGGGCCCTCTAATAAGGAAGGGATCACTCAGTATCCACTCCTGTCAATTTGATTCAAGCGGACAGTTAATTTTCAGCTTCTGGGTTGAGATGAGACGGGAAAGCTGGCTTTAAACCCTTACTCCCGCCGCATCCAGAAGCAGGTGCTTGATGCGGGCAGTCCCCATTCAGGGTGAACAATGGTTGTCAGGGAGGGTCTCCCGGGAGGGTGGCCAGTGCCTCAAAGGAGCCACTCTGGGCTCCCACCTGCAGCACTGGAGTTTTCTCTCTGTGATTTCAGAGAAAGCCCTGCCCTCTGGGGGTTTATCAAGCTGCATTTTCTAGACACAGAGCCTCCAATCGCTGTGCCTCTGCAAGCCTGGTCACGACACCCGCAGGATTAGAAATTTCCGGCCACTTCTACGTTTCCATCCTTCCTTCCGGTCCGGGGTGGGGGAGACACACAAGAGTTTCCCTTGGCCCTTCTGACCTGATTCAAAACCTCGTCACCTGTCCAAAGTAACCCCCAGTGGAGACTTTAACTCAAGTATGAGTTTAGGGAGCTAACACCTGAGCATTGATTCCTGGCAACACCCCCCCTCTGGCGGGGCCTCTACTCCAAGTGGCTGACCTAACGCGCTCCAGTTCCACCTGGAAGCCCAGACAGGCGCTGCAGAAGGCAGCAGCTGAATAGAACCTTCGTCTCTCCTTCGACGGCTACATGGGGGTGAGGGGGCAGTCGAAGTGGGTGGGAAAGGATTCAGGAAGAAAATTGGCAGAGGTGTCCGGGAGGAAGGGTGGGGGAAGGGAGGGGAGGCCACAGGCAACAGGACAGTCTGGGCTTCTCTCACTCAGGATCCAACTCCCGCTCACTTCCTGCCAAGTGCCAGGCCCAGCGCCATGACGCTATGGAAATACTCCCTCCTGGCTGTGTCCTTCATCTCCCTGAGCTTCTTCCTCCGGGACACCACGAACAAGCACCTTGAGTACAGCGTGTCATTGGTAAGTTCCGGAAACTGAGATGGATTACTTCCCAACACCTCGGCGGGGAGGAAGTACGTCCAGTTATGTAAACACTCGAGTACCACCCTAGTTCTAAGAAGAGGGCGCTTGAAGATTCAGGAGAGTGTCCAAAAAAGGATATTAACCCAGCCTTGAATATGGCTAGGATTGGAATAGGGTGAGGGAGGAAGAGGGCATTCTAACCGTGGAGAGAGCCTTGCCCAGACCTTCTTGGCGGCCGTGCTGCCTGCCAGGCCCAGGATGCGAGGGAGCTGCCTGGGTGCTGCCACTCTCCTCACCTCAGGGACAGGCTCAAGCCCTAAGATGACTCCTCCCACGTGCACTGCGTCTGCAGGTAGACAAGGTCATGCTCAGGTTCTGGGGTCCACCTTCTCTCTACGTGCCTCAGAAGAGCTAGAGCAGAGGGGGAGGTGGGTGTGGGGAAGTGTGCAGCCAGAACGGAGCAAAGAAACAGCTATAGAATTGAGGCACCATGTGCAATTCCTTAAGGACAAGATAGCTTGGTCTTCAGCAGCTGGCCCAGCACCCAGCACGGTCCAAGCAGAGTAGGGGTCCTGCCAGGCTGTAATGGTGGAGAAATGAGAGATGGGCAAGGTGGGCAGCTGGTTCTTATTGCCTGGAAGCTTCCCACAGGCATTCCACAGGGAACTGGAGAGCCCCATTTCCCTGACCCTAAGGCCCACCACCCTCCCAGCACCATGGGTGTTCTCACGATGAGGTGGGGACAGCGCTTCAGAGCCCCAATACTGGAGCTCCCCGGTGGCTGGATCATGGGGCTTACTGGGTCTGCCTTAGAAGGGGGATTTTCCCTCATTTGTCTCCAGAGGAGCAGGGGTGAAGCTCAGGGCTGATGCTTATCCATCTTTAGCAGGAGGAAAAGAAGAAAATACTGCAGCAGCTGGACCGAGAGCAAATCAGCTCTGAAAGCAAGAAGCGCTTGGAGACCTTCAAGGAGATGCAGAGACCCTCCCAGGTGCGCCAGCTCACCAGCTACAAAGTCCTGGCGGGAGCCCTTCCCCAGGAGAAGAGTGAGTATGTGGGAGAGAGGTCAGACTGAGGGAAGAGGGAGGGAGAGGAACCAGAGGGAGATGAACATGAATGGTGCCAATGCATTGGACACTGTACTATGAGAGCCCTCAGGTTCCTCCACCCCTGCAGACCCTGCCACCCAGGTCTGAGGTCACAGTCAGGCTCACATGCCAGCAGATTTTCCTTTGGTACATGGCAGCCTTCCCCATCAGAGAGCCTTGTCCTCCAACGACCTGGTAAAGTAGTAATCAAATAAAACCACCTCACAGCCGAAACCAGTTTGGCTCAGTGGATAGAGCGTTGGCCTGCGGACTGAAGGGTCCAGGGTTCGATTCCGGTCAAGGGCATATATCTTCGTTGTGTGCACATTCCCAGTGGGAGGTGTGCAGGAGGCAGCTGATTGATGAGTCTCTCTCATCGATGTTTCTAACTCTCTTTCCCTCTCTCTTGCTTTCTATAAAAAATCAATAAAATATATTAAAAAAAAAAAAAAACACCTCACAACCTCTGACCAAAGATTAATCTCTATCCAACCACACTCTCCAAGGAAATGTGACTTTGTCCCCAGGGGCTGGCATTAAGGGGAGAGGGGAGGAGGGTCTTGACACCACCTAGAGTGCTAATGGTGCCCTATGCCTCCCACCCCCAGAACTACTGACGGTGGGGATCTCCTCGGCGCAGCATCCTCAGGGGAGCGCCCTCTTGCACACCCTGCAGTCCCTGTTCCAAGCCTCCTCGGAGCCCGAGCTGGACTGTATTGTGGTGCTGGTCCACCTGTCAGACCCCGACCCTGCATGGCTCCACCAAATGGTCGCCAACATATCAGGCCTCTTCCGAGCTCGTGTTGAGGCCCAGCAGCTGCTTGTGATCCACGGTCACCTCAGTGGCTCTCTTGTCCCAGGGGATCTGGGCCACATCAACGACCCCTCACCCTGTGAAGCCGTCTATTCCAGGCAGAAAGCCGACTACGCCCTCCTCATGACCTTTGCCGTCAGCCTCTCCGAATACTTCCTGATGGTAGAAGATCACGTGGACTGCGCCCCCAAGTTCGTTTCCACCGTCTACTGGGCGCTGGCAGGCTGGGAAGAACGACCCTGGGTGACCCTGGAGTTCTCTAGCCTGAGCTTCTCCGGGAGAGTATTCCACAGCCGCGACCTCCCCCGCCTGACCACCTTCCTCCTCCTCTTCCCCACGGACACGCCCACCCACTCGCTCCTCTCTGAATTCCGCCTCCTCCTGGCCCAGCGTGTTCCCATTCGTTTCAGCCCCTCGGTCTTCTATCCCGCGGGCAATTATTCTGCGTCCGAGGACGCCTGCTTTCCCGTGGAGAAGGAAGTGGCCTTTGGTGAGCCAGACAACCCCCTGGCCAAGGTCCTCACGGACATGAGCCCCGTGCGGGACGTGCTTCCCCAGTACGCGTATGTCCTGAACGAGGAGGGCTTCGTCACCCTCGAAGCCTTAAGGGGCAACTACCTGGTGGTGATTATGGAAAAGCCGCAGAAAGTCATCCGCATCGAGGTGCTGACAGGTGTGGACCAGGAAGGGCAGTACCGGCTGCAGCAGGGCCAGGTAGAACTGGGCTACAGCCCCCTGGCGCATTCCGCAGGCTGCGCGCGCTACACCCTGCTGGGACCGCTGGTGCAGGGGAACCTGGACCAGCGGGTGTTTTACGAGGAAGGCACCGTGGAGAAGCTGAGCTGCATACGGCTGCTGGTGCTAGCCTCTCAGGACTCCTGGCTCTTCATCAGGCAGATCAGGGTCTGGACTCAGCCCGAGGAAGAGGAGAGCTGGAGGCACCCAGGGGATTCTGCAGGCATTGTTGGTCTCGGGAACCCAGCCTACATGGCTGGCAGGAAATAAAGCTAGAACCTGGTCGAAGCCTGTGCACACTCGGAGTGGGGTGACCGTGTTGAGTTACTGTCCACACCGGGGAGGGGGGGGGCCGGCCGGGGGGGTACGTGAGAGAAGGAAAGGAAGCACACAACCGCAGAGGACAGCCAGCCTGTACCCCACAAGCAGAGGTGTGTGTTCAACCTAATCCAGTTTTGTGGGATTTTAAGATAGACGGCACAGTCTGAGGAAGGGGGAGAAACAAGACAAAGTCCTTTTGGCTTCCAAGGGCCAGAGAGAGGGGGAAGGAGGTGCCATGACCTGGCCTACTTCTTTTTTCTTTTAAATATATTTTATTGATTTTTTTACAGAAAGGAAGAGAGAGGGCTAGAGAGTTAGAAAGATCGATGAGAGAGAATCATCGATCAGCTGCCTCTTGCACACCCCCTACTGGGGACATGCCCTTGACTGGAATCGAACCCGGGACCCTTCAGTCCGCAGGCCGACGCTCTATCCACTGAGCCAAACCGGTTTTGGCAAGACCTGCCCTATTTTTTATCTGCACACAAGCATTACGCTCCCATCTTTCCTCCGAGGAGTCTGCCCTGCCTGGAACCAAAAGTCCTAGGAGTGCCCCGCTCCGTTCCGCACCGCCACTTCCGGTCTCCACACCCTGGGTCCGGTTCCGCCCCTTCCGCCCGACCCCTGTCGTACAGGCCCCGCCCCTTTCACGCCCATTCCTTCCTCCCCGGCGCTGCGCACAGGCCCCGCCTCTTCCGGGCTGATACTGCGGTCAGGCCCGCCTCCCCGCCCCTTCCGGCGCCGCCGCTTCCACCCCCACTCTTGCCAGGCCACGCACCTTTCAGGCCGGCGCTTCCCGACACTGCCTCGTGCTCTGTCAGGCCCCGCTCTTTCCAGCCTCAACCCCCAGCGCTACGCCCCTCTGGTCCTCCGTCGCCAGACCCCTCTTCTGGCTTCCGGCCCCTTACTCCTGTTAGCCCCGCCCCTTCCGGGCCTGCTTTTCCGGCCAGCTTCCAGTAAGGCCTCACCTCTTTTTCCTGTCCCGCCCCTTCCGCCTCCCCGGTTCCGGGCCCTCGACCGCCCCTTCCAGCCCAGCTCTCTCCAGGCCCCGCCTCTGGCCCGCCCCGCGGCGACTCGTGGGAACACCCCGCGGGCGCAGCGGTGGAGGACGCGGTGCTCGGTCATGGGGTTCCAGCTGGTGAGACCGGACTCCAGGCCCTGCCCCAGGGACTCCACTCCACCTGGTTCTGGCCCCTCGGCTATGGGCCTGGGGTCTCCCCCTCCGCCCTCGCCCTGATGGCGGGTCCCAAGACCCTGCCCAGGGAACCCCTCCGGCCTGCGCCTGCTCCCGCGCTGGGGCTCGGGCGGGACGGTCACCTCCGCGGGGCGGTCACCGCGCCTCCTCTCCCCACAGAGCCCAGGCCTGCTGGCCTCCCTCGGGGCGGGGCTGCTGACTCTGCTCGGCCTGGCCCTGGGCTCCTACTTGCTTCGGAGGTCCCGCCGCCCCCTGGTCACTCTCCTGGACCCCAATGAGAAGTACCTGCTGCGGCTGCTAGATAAGACGGTGAGTTGCGGAGGAGGAAGGGGTTTGGGGTAGAGGCAGGACCAGAGCTCCCCTCCTGATGTGAAGCCACAGCGTCCACTGCGGTTGGGATGTCCTGGTGACACTGTCATCCGTCCCTCCAGACTGTGAGCCACAACACCAGGAGGTTCCGATTTGCCCTGCCCACCGCCCAGCACACGCTGGGGCTGCCTGTGGGTAAGGAACGTGTGGGCTCCTTTTCCTGGCATCCTAAGAGTGCGATTCTCCTTCTGGAGTCTCCCAAAACACGCAGCTTCCGTCCATGCCCTCCCTCCTCACTCTCTCCCCTTCCTCGCCTGGCTGGATCCTCCAGGTTGTCACTGGCTCATTCTCGGGTGTGGCTTCTGTGCCCCAGACATCTTTTAACACTCAGCAGTCCCACTCCTCCCCGCAGGATTTGCTCTTCCTCCCCCTGAGCAAACACTCATTTTATACTCATTAGCTTCTCTGCTGCTGCTGCTGCTGCTGCTAAGGCCCTGGTTGTAACTGAGTAGAGTTTGTCCCTTGGGCATTGAAGAGGGGTTCCCCTGGGGGCTCCAAGGGGTGAGTCCTCCCTGCCTGGTAGCTTATGGGGGCAAGATGTCCTCGTTCTCTCAAACCTCCCTGGGTATTTTGAAAGGTAACTGGAAGGCAGCACATCCACAAGCCACCCTCATCTCGTTCTCTGCATGGTCCCCAGGCAAACATGTCTACCTATCAGCCCGAATCGATGGCAGCCTGGTCATCAGACCATACACTCCTGTCTCCAGTGACGAAGACCAAGGCTATGTGGATCTTGTCATCAAGGTAAGGGGATAGGAAGGAACCCTGGGAGCTCTCCACCCTACTTTGTCTGGGATTTGAGGAAACTTCTAAGTTTGTCAGATAGCAGGAGATGGGTGTCCTTTGTAGCTATGAAGAGTACGTGGACTGGGGAAAAGACAGCATGTGCATACATGGCCCCAGCCTAGAGAGTCCAAATAAAGTCTTTTTTTTTCTTTATTGATTAAGGTGTTACATATGTGTCCTTATCCCTCCCATTGTCCCCCCACCCCCAGCACCCTCACTCATGCCCTCATCCCCCTGGTGTCTGTGTCCATTGGTTAGGCTTATATGCAGGCATGCAAGACCGTTGGTTGATCTCTCCCCCTGACCCCCATCATCCCCTACCTTCCCTCTGAGGTTTGACGGTCTGATCGATGCTTCTCTGTCTCTGGATCTGTCCCTGTTCATCAGTTTATGTTGTTCATCATATCCCACAAATGAGTGAGATCTTGTGATATTTATCTTTCTCTGACTGGCTTATTTCGCTTAGCATGATGTTCTCTAGTTCCATCCATGCTGTTGCCAATGGTAAGAATTCCTTCTTTTTACCACAGCATAGTGCTCCATTGTGTAGATGTACCGCAGTTTTTTAATCCACTCATCTGCTGATGGGCATTTAGGCTGTTTCCAAATCTTAGCTATGGTGAATTGTGCTGCTGTGAACATAGGGGTGCATATGTCCTTTCTGATTGGTGTTTCTAGTTTCTTTGGATATATTCCTAGAAGTGGGATCACTGGGTCAAATGGGAGTTCCATTTTTTAGTTTTTTGAGGAAACTCCATACTGTTCACAGTGGCTGCACCAGTCTGCATTCCCACCAGCAGTGCACGAGGGTTCCTTTTTCTCCACATCCTCTGCCACCACTTGTCGTTTGTTGATTTGTTGATGATTGCCATTCTGACAGGTGTGAGATGGTACCTCATTGTCGTTTTGATTTGCATCTCTCGGATGATCAGTGACTTTGGGCATGTTTTCATGTGTCTCTTGGCCTTCTGTATGCCCTCCCAAATAAAGTCTTTTCCATTCTGTCTTATCAGGTCTACCTGAAAGGCGTTCACCCCAAATTTCCTGAGGGAGGGAAGATGTCCCAGTACCTGGATAGCCTGGAGATTGGGGATGTGGTGGAATTTCGAGGGCCAAGTGGGTTGCTCACTTACACGGGGAAAGGTAACGGCCCTTCTGCTCCTTGAGCCCCCCCAGCTCTCCTGTCCTCTGGGCACACGTGCCGTGCAGAGGGGCCAGGGCTGCCCTTCCTGTACACGTAGCTCTGACAGTATAGAGGGGCAGAGGTCTCAGCCCACCTGTCACCGGGATCAGGGTCAGTTCCCTGTCCACCTGAATTCGCCCACCATGACAGCTGTGGAGATAAGTGAAGCAGCCCTGCCTCACAGATTCGCCCTTCAGGCTGAGCTATTCAGAGAGCTTTTAGCCCTTCCCAGGGGAGTAGCTTGAGCAAGTCCCTGGGGCTGCTCTGCGCACTTGGAAGAGGAGATTCACACCTGTCCCCAGGCCCCTTGCCCTGACTAGGGGTGACCCTCTTGCCCAAAGCAGCTGCTGACTCAGTTGTGTGGGCCTGAACTGACTGGTGGTTAATAAATGTGGCCCCGGCCCCATTGTCCCTCCTGTGTATTATTAGGGTTTGGCTCAACTCAGATGTCCACCCGGCTCCAGGGTCAGATTTCATTGCAGCTGCTAACCTGGCCTGGGACGTTTTTAGCGCTGCATTTGTTTTCTTCGTTTGCTCCGCTGACTCCACTCTTCCGCCCCTTCTTCGCTCGACTTCTCAGGGAATTTTAGCGTTCAGCCCAACAAAAAGTCTCCACCAGAGACCCGCGTGGCGAAGAGGCTGGGCATGATCGCCGGCGGGACAGGTGTGTGTTGCTTGGGGGCCCGTCTCTCCCACCATTGTTGATGTCGCCATGAGAGCTTCCCAGGGGCCCTCAGAAGGTTTTGGGATCAAGATCAAGCTGGGAATTGGGACTCCCAGCAATGCCCAGGGCTCCCCAGTACCTGAAAAATAAAATCATGATCAGGTAGAAACCAAAAGCAAGTTCTTTTAACCGACAGAATGAGAAATAATTCACTTGTACTCTCCTTAAGACCTCACACGGAATGGATCTCCTTCAGATGAGAACAGGGACACAGCTAGGAACAGGCCAGTCAAGAAGGGAGTTAGCATTGGACATTTCCAATATTCACCACTGTGGTAGTCTCTTTACGCCTGAGTCTGTGAAGTGGGTAGTTGCTTTTCCCTTTTACAGATGAGGAAATGCAGCTGCAAAGAGGTTAAGAGGTAAAGGATTGGTGTCCAGCTCTGCCTGGTCCCAGAACACTTGACCTTAACCTGCCAGCCCTCCTCAGCCCTGTCCCACTGAGTCACACCTGTGACATCTGAGTCCTAACCAACAGGGATTGTTGAGAGGAAGTCTTAGAGAGACTTTAACAATATGAGCTTTATGTGACTATGGAGCATGACTACAGTTCACCTACCAGATAGGAATTGTTGTGAGTTTATGGTAAGAGGCATGTCTACCTAGAAAAGTGGGTGCTGGAGAACACACAGGAGGTTAGAGGATTTGGACACTGAATGGAGGTGGGTGCGGTGGTGAACGGGACGCATTCAGATAAAAGCGTTGGTTGGCTAAGGAGCTGGAACAGGTAAGCTGTGGCTGCCATGTCTCCCTGTGGCTGTCTGTGCAGGAATCACCCCGATGCTTCAGCTGATCCGGGCCATCCTGAAAGACCCCACAGATCCAACCCACTGCTCTTTGCTTTTTGCCAACCAGGTTGGTTTGCTTTTCTCGGTCCTGGGACTCTTCAGTTGTGTGGGTCAGCTCAGAGATGTGGCACCCATGGGCAGAAACAGGCCAGTGCCCAAGACCCCCCAGTAGCTAGAGGACCCTCTGCCACAATAAGAGGACAAAGCCCTGAGCCAGTTCCTCCCCTGGGCCCAAGGAAAGAAGAAAACATTTTTGGAATATCGTCCTGAGCATAAAAACTTGCTCATGGGGTTACCTGGGTTAAATATGCCATCTTTATTTCACCATGCTGTGTAAATAAAACCCGCTCCCCTTTCCTTGCCCCTCATCCTAACAACCTAAACAGTCGTGTTTTCTTTTTCTCTCCTGGTTACAAAATGTTATGTGGGCCTGAGAAGATTCCTAAAGACTTTGTTTCTCCGTTTCATGTCAGACTGAAAAGGACATCATCTTGCGGGAGGACTTGGAGGAGCTGCAGGCGCAATATCCTGATCGCTTTAAACTCTGGTTCACTCTGGATCATGCCCCAGCAGGTACCCTCCCCATGCTGGATATCCCAGGAGCAGGGCCTCACCCCTGTTGGGTTCTGGTTTCGATGGAACCAACCTTCCTGACACTGCTGGGCTCCCACGTCTGTGTACCGGGATGCAGTGGTCCCCTGGCCCTTTCCTTTAGCTTCCTGTTCACCGGGCGGGGGCAGGAACGGCTGTGCTGCTGAGGCAGGCTGAGTGCAGTCTGTGTTTCACTTGACTCCTTCCCCAGAGCCTTCCTGGGCCTCCCCACCTCAGGGCCCTACACCCCTTGCCAGCAGGGGTCTGGAGTGACTGTTCTCCTCTCCACTGCAGGTTGGGCCTACAGCCGGGGCTTTGTGACTGCGGACATGATCCGGGAGCACCTGCCACCCCCGGGGGGCGATGTGCTGCTGCTCCTCTGCGGGCCTCCCCCGATGGTGCAGCTGGCCTGCCACCCCACCCTGGACAAACTGGGCTACTCTCAAAAGATGCGCTTCACCTACTGACCGCTCCCGGCCATGTTCCCGGTCAGTGCTCGGCTGCTGTAAGTCCTAGATCTCTTTCCTTGGAGGATAAGCCTTCTGTCTTTCTCTGAAGCTGAAATCTGATGGTACACCTACAGGAACCGCATCCTTGTAGCCCTGGAAGAGAGCTAAGGCTGAGTTGTTCCCTGGAAGGCCCCTCCAAACCTCCCTGTGACAAAAGGCCCAGGTCAGGCCATGGAGCAGTGTACGTTCGTTCCAAGCCTGGCTGATTCCTGGGTAGCATCGCACTCTTCTTTGTCTGTGTTGGAAGGAACAACCTATGTGATTTGTTTTACTTACTGCTCAGTGCTTAACTCGTAGCAGATTCGTTGTGAGTGCAAGCTGAGCAGACTTTTAGAGCTAGTCTCACTGAGGTTGCAGGAGAGGAGCAAGTGGTTTCTTCAGACCTGCAGGCCTCAGAGAAAGGAATTTCAAATATGTACTTGTATGTCTGACTCTTCCTGCCCAGCCCAGGCTAGAGGGAAGTGGCTGTCCACAGCCTGAGGCTGCTGCTTATGGCAGGAACCCCTGGCTGTGCGAATAAATGGACTGAGGCCCCAGTGGGATACCTGTAGGGCTATTGTGTCTAGGGGTCTTGTCTCCAAGGCTTTTCACACCTGAGAATTTTGGGAGGAAGGGGGCTTCTCAGCACAGAATTCTTCCAGGTCTTCCCAAGAACCCTTGAGCAGTTGTCCTGGGTGTTAAAATGAGCTGTCCCCAAACTGTGATCATCTTTGCAGCTGTCTCAGCAGAAGCAGAAGCTTAACTCTCTCCCTGGAGGCTTTTCAGGTGGGGGACAGAGTACAGCTGAAAGGGGATGCGTTTTGAGCCCAGGTCCAGTAGTCCTTTTGTTGGCCATTCTTCCTTCTCCCTCCTCTTGACCCTTCCTTCACCATCGACACCCTTCAGGGTACCTGGCACACAAATAAAAGCATTGTCTTTTTGTTTGGAAGAGAAGCCTTCTCCTTTAAAAGTAACCTAAGCCCAGCTGATGTGGCTCCGTGGTTGAGTGTTCACCTGTGAACCAGGAGGTTAGGGCATATGCCCGGGTGGGATATCAATCCCCAGGAGGGGACCTGTAGGAGGCAGTCAATCAGTGATTCTTTCTGGTCATTGTTTCTATTTCTCCCTTTATCATCATTTCTAAAGTCAATAAAAATACATTAAAAAAAAAAAAAAAAAAAACCTGACATCAGCCCGGCCAGACTTATTGGTGCCTGGACAGAGTTGCCCTCCCCTGCCCATCCGTCTTGTCTGCCCTCTCCTGTTATGACATCATGACCCAATCCACTCCCAACTCCCAGGGTAGGACCAGGCAGCTTTTTGTTAGTCCCGTTGGGATAAAACTGCATCTGTCTCAGGAGGAAAGGCCAGCATTGATTTTCTGCATGGAACCATGTATTGCTCTCTCTGGGGCCCCTAAAAGTCGGCTTATGGGACCCTGAGAATTCAACCCTTCCATAAAGCAGAACCAGTAAATTCTGTTACTGGTATTTCCATCAAACATTTCTTGGTCAGCTAGCATGTGTGCACTACTAGCTGTGTATACAGGGAAGAATCTTAGCTTCCTCATCTCCAAAAAGGAAAATTGTGCTTAGGATTGTTGGGTTCAGATAGTACAGCAGCACACACAGCACACAAAACTTTTCACACACAAGGTCATTGTTCCTTGTTTTGCACGGGTTTCTGTCTCATCCACTCAATATGCAAACATTTATTTAGGGCCTGCCATGTGCCAAACACCGTGACAAAACTGGTCTCCCACCCCCTAAGAATTCCTAGTCTAAAATAAGATCGACGTGTGATAAATAATTATCGGAGAAGAGATAAAAGATATGGATGGGTGGAGGATTCGGAGGAGGAGGAAAAGAAGAAAAAGCGTGGCTGAGTTCACAGCCACAAACCAGACACTTGCTTAAGTATTCACAATTTCATCCTTATGATAATCCTGAGTCTTAAGATTAAGGATTTGGCCAAGGTCTCGCTGAAGAAAATTAAAGTCAGTCCTGTGGACAATGAATGTTTCTGAGGGTTTTATACAACAGACATCACTTAGCAGCTAACACGTATGAAGCGTTTGCCATTCACCTGGCATCATACGAGAGAGCCTGCGTAAATCATCTCAGTCCTGACAAAGACCCAGCGAAGTAGCACGGCTTTCTTCCCATTCCTCAGGTGAGGCATTCAGTAAGGTGCTCAAGATCATCAGCTGACCAGGAATGGAAGCCTGGGTCTGTGTTACTCAAGCCCCTGCTTTTAACCAGCACCAAGAGAATCTCACTGCCTCCAGGCATCCATAGACGTTAACCAACTACCATCTAAAGTAGCACTAGTTATGCACCATTCTCTGGAGAACTGAGAAAGTGGTTCCTCCGATCAGTGATATCCAGCCTTTTTCATCTCATAGCCCATGTAAACTTAATTACTGAAATTCTGTAGCACACTAAAAAATATATAAATTTTGCTGATCTGACTCTTGGGTCGAAAATCGCTGCCTCGAATCACTTTCTGTGGTTAAGAGGAGTGCTACACCACCTGTGTCTCCCAGACCTGCACTCAGGTGGGGGGGGGGGGAGTTGGAAAAAGGGGAGCGTGGGAGCACAACCTGGCAGTGAGTTCTCCTGCCAGGAAGGAAGCAACTATGTTTCTGCAAAGACTAGCAGGCGCCCAACGAACGCTTACCCTAGCACTCGGCACGTGATGGTTCCGTTCAATAAATAGGGGAGGGACCCCAGAGTGTTTGGAGGAGCCAACAACTGGCACCGGTCACGGTGAGATGGGGGGACTTGCCTGCATTGGATGAAGTTCGTTGGGGTCCGGTCCAACTCCCTGACAACCCTCCCGCGTGCAGCAGGGGGCGTGGTCCTCAGGAAGCCCAGGAGGCGGGGCTCGGGATTGGAGCTGCGCGGGGGCGTGGCTCAGGAGAGCGGGCCTGTGATTGGCCCGCTGGAGGAAGACACGCCCCGTGGGGCGTGGCCAGGAGCTGCGTCGCGGCGGTGACGTCAGCGCCTGGCCCCCTTCCGGCGCGGGGAGCGTCAGGACCAGGGCCGCCGGGCTGCAGGCCGCCTGCGGCGCTGCGGGATGTAGCGCGGCGTCCGCGGCCCCAGCTCAGCCCGTCGCCGGCGGTAAGTTCCGGGAGCGAGCCGGCGAGGGGCGGGGGCGCCCCGAGGTCCGAGACACCCCGCCCTGCCGCCGGCCGCGCCCCCGGCTCCCCCGCGGTCCGCGGTGTAAACATTTCCGGCCCCTCCCCGCCGCGCGCCGCCTCCGGGGCGACCTCAGAGCCGCTGGCGGGCGGATGGGCCGCGGCCCCGGCTGCCGAGCTGCCGGCCGAGCTGGTGAGTGCGGCGTCCTCCGGGCCCCGCCGCCGGGAGAGGCGACGGGATTCGGGCTGAGGCTCAGGCTTGGGGCAGGGCCGGGCCCGGAACGAAGGCCGGGCCCGGCCGCGGCGCGAGCGCGTGGGGAGCGGGGGTGAGGCTGGGGGCCTGGCTGGCTCCTAGGACCGCCTGCCTGTAGGATCCTCGACCTACAATCTTTGTCAGATCGGACCCAGGCAGTGTCTCTCCCCCCCCCCCCCCTTTGGTGTTGGAAAAGCGGAGGCTGGTGGGCAGTTTACCTTTGTTTACGGGAATCCTGGACGCTGACATGGAGCAGAGGCTCAACTACTTTGTGCAGATAAGGAAATCTCATCCCCTCGGAAATTCTGCACTGATGTATGTCATCTTAATGTGTGAGGTTTGCCCTTCACGCCTTTGGTTTTTTAAGAAAACAAAGTAGATAGATGCTTCCCCTCGGTTTTTCCTGCTTCCTGGGAAACTGACGCGGCATTTCAGTTCACACAGTCCGGTGTGGGAGGAGCCATCGGAGCCCACGTAGGACTTTTTCCCTGAGTTACCCGTAGTCTCTCCCCCGGGAGCTAGAAGACCGACAGCAAAAGGGAGCGACGCTGCCCACTGAGACCAAGTGAATGGTTCTTTTCTGAAACGAAGCGGTGGGGTCTGCCCACCGCTTTCTCTCGGTAGGGCCAGGGTCACCTGTTGTGGTGCAGCTGCTGCTCCCCATGTTTTTACAGCGTCTGCAGTAGGAGTGCACCCTGGGCGGTGCTCAACAGATCGTGATGTCAGATCACAGGTCCCAGCTCCCAGCCACAGAAGTTACTCCGGGAGTGCCTTCTGCCCAGGGTCCTGGTTGGTCCTTGGGGGGAATCAGTCCTCAGAGCCTGTGGAGGCCCACCATCGAGCGTGTCCACTGTACCTGCTCGCAGAGTAGAGTCAGAAAGTGTTTTTGTTCTGTGGCCAAGCATTTTTGTGATTCTCAAGGGATTAGAAAAATCCGGTCACTGTACCTGCAAGTGGGAAAGAATTTCAGGAAGCGGCAGGAGGCTCCATCAGCTAATGGCCGGCTGTCAGACCATCTTCCGGGTCTTCAGGCTGGCCTCAGTTTACCTTTCCACAAATCCTTTATGGAAAAGTGGGGTGGGGGGAGGACTAAAAAAAGGGGGGGTGGAAATAAGAAAAAGAAAGAACAAAAACAAAATGTATGTCTCCTTCTAGGCCAGTTCTCTATTTCCCTGGAAGGTCTCTGCTTCCTTATAACATAAAGCCAAACCGACACTCCTGGTACACGACATCATTAAGTTCCATCTCCCTGTGGTCACCCTGGCGAACTGAACATCCATCTTTAGATTAGAAGTTTTATGAAGTGTGTGTGTGTGGGGGGGGGGGGGGTTGCTGGTGCTGACACCCATTAAAATCATGACGTTTTCTCCTTAAGGTGCATTCGTCCCTGATGTTGCTCCCTGGATTTTGTTCCTCTCACTGCACTCCGATTTCTCTTTTCCTGCTCAGAAGTGTTGGGGTGTGGCTATTCCTTATAAAGTTTGTAGCTGTCTTGGTTCGAAAGGACCCTGGAAGTGCCCCCTAGACAAACCTGTTCTCAGTCATGGGCTTCTAAGTGTGTGCTTGGTTTGCGTTTGTTTCATTGGGGCTTCCGGGGCACCCAGTGTGAGTGACCACCATGCTGTGTGACTACTCACCGTGTATCTGTAATGTACTGATAGCCAGGTATTCACGTAAAAACGGGGACTGGCTAAGAGTGCTGCTTGTGCCTGTGTACCGCTTGCTTTCTTCTTTTTTTTTTTAATCATGGCATTTGAAAGGCTTGCCTGTCTGGGGGGGGGGGGGGCCGGGGCATAAAAAACCTCTCCTGCTGGGACTGCTTTAGCTGGAGAAGAGCTACAAAGGACGTAAGCTTGTGATTTTCCGCTTCAGACTCTTAAGCCAGTGACTTGGCATCAAGTAGGAAAGCGGAGGCTGTCCCTGCAGTTGGTAATTTTCTAGCAGTAGACCTTTTCCCAGCAGCGTGCGGGGAGAAGGCAGCTGTGCTCTGTCTTGTCTTTTCCGCTAGACTAGCCTTGCTTTAGAACTAGTGAGAATCTGGCAGGATAGGCTGAGCCTACCCTTGGAACCTCTAGGGGTGCAGGGACCCCAGAATAAAACCTCCAGAAGCTCTGTGCTTCTGACTGCAGGGAAGGAGTGTGCAGTAGCCTGGAACATTGGGAACTGGCTCGCAGCATAAGTGTCTCAGAGACCTGTGAGGGACGTAAACTCTCCAGCTGGCTGGCGAGTGATTGAGAGTCAGTCCTTCCCAAGAGTGGCACAAGATTATCTAATTTATAGGAGCACAAACACCTCCCTGCCTCCATAGTCTACTCCCTGATACTGGTTTACCCAGATAGAAAGCTTGGTGGTAAAGACTTATTAGCTGGGATTGAAGAAATCTCTCAAAAAAAAAAAAAAATGCATTTGGTGGGATTTGGCCCAATTATAATTTGCTATTATCGGGTGTGGTGAATTTTCTAAAATACATAAGGATATAGCTGGCTGAAGTCCTTAGTGCTCACAGAACCCGTCTTAACAACTTAGGGCTTCGTGCAGGTTTTATGTGTTCTAGAGACTGTTTGCAATAACGTCCAGCTGTTTGAGTGGTCTGCCCTGTCAGAAATTGTATGTTCAGGTCCTAGTATCACCTGCTCTTCTTTCTCGCCAGACCTCCGATCCCTCTCTCTCCCTCTCCTGTCTCTGTGTTGCTACAGTTTAGAAGACCAAAGTGGACAGTGGACTTTTGCTCACTATGATGACCTCCTCTGTATGTATTTCATTGCATGACGTATCTTGTAGCCAATGGCGGGTTCATGAGTCACCGGGTGTTAGGCTTAGTGACTTGAGTCTAGGAGACAATGCCAGGGGGAGGGAGTATATGAGTGAGTAATAGAGGAGTCGGAGGGAATCAGAAAAATTAGCAGCAAGTGATTTGGACAAAAACAAAAAAAAGACTTTGCTGGTGGCCAAAGGCTGAGGTTATCCCGGGAGAATGCTAGGCAAAGGCACTTTTCTTATCAAATGAGGTGTTAAGGCTACCAAGCTGGGCTCTGCATCTGATCTCCTGACCCTAATTGCCCAACTTAAAGTTTGTCTGTATTACTCTTGATTGCTTCCCGTAAAATAGTTTCCCAACATCCAGAGAAACTGAACTTTGTGTGTGGCTGTGCTAGGTCAAGGGTTCTTGTATCCCTGGCTTTGCACGGGCCACAGATTACCTTGTGCATCTGGTTGTAGGCTCCTTGAAGAAAAGGACTCACCTTGTTCCCCTTTGTGTTTTGCACCGTACCCAAGAACGCTTTAGGGTCTGCACTAAACACAGGAGTTCGATATTCAGTGACAGGGAAAGCCCAACAAACACAAGAGAGTGCATAAACCCTCAGCTGGTGATAAAAAGTTAACGAGTCACATGCTTGCTGGCTGGAAAGCTGCCCTGTTCATCCGTTCATTCCTTGTGGACTGAGGGCTCTGACTGGAATCGGGGATAGGAATCCACTTACTAGCGAGGTGGTGTTAGACCCCTGCACCTGAGAGGGACGTTTTGGCCACCCCTGAAGTACTGCCAGCAGTACACCAAGCTACGTGCATCCTCCTTTTGAGACTGACTTCTGAAAATGCCCAAAGCTGTTCATATGTTTTTTCCAATATACATTATTTTTTAAATATGTTTTATTGATTTTTTTTACAGAGAGGAAGAGAGAGGGATAGAGAGTTAGAAACATCGATGAGAGAATCATCGATCAGCTGCCTCTTGCACACCCCCTACTGGGGATGTACCCGCAACCAAAGTACATGCCCTTGACCGGAATCGAACCCGGGACCTTTTCAGTCCGCAGGCCGATCCTCTATCCACTGAGCCAAACCAGTTTCGGCAATATACATTATTTCTTAGGAAAGCTGTTGATGGGGGAGTGCTTCCCTGTGAGGAGACGTGTTTTGTGGTCAGCCTGCTGACAGGGATTTCCCAACGTTCCCTCTCACTCGGGCTGCCTCTCCCGTTTCCTGTTCTCCCGGGCTCCGCTGTTGCCCAAGTGGCATCTGTCTTGCCGGTCTTGCGCAATTGAAGAAAGAGGAACTCTCTCTGTGTTGACACGGTGTAAAGGCCTCTGTACGGTGAATTATTGTTTGTCTCTTGAACCAAGTTTGCTTGTTGCTTTCAGTTGTGCTTGAGAGTTGAGCACAGCATGACTTTTGAAACTTGAGGACTGCCCTCATTTGACTACATAAACCCAGCCATAATCTCTGAGAAGGAAGTGTGATTCCTCTTGGATTTTAGAAGAAGAACTGGTACAAAATGCAGTCACAAGCCATGGAAGAGACAGTCTCTCCTGGGAGCAGTCACCTTACTGTCCCTTATAAACGTTTTGGTTCCCTGAGCTTAGTTTCCACTCCTGTAAAGCAACTCATTCGTGTGCAGGTGTTACCTGGTCCTCTGCATTGCCCTGGAGTTACAGGGACACAGATGACCAGGGCAAGAAAATGCTAATACTATGGCGACTGCTATAACTGTGAGTAATAAACTCCTTTGTTTATGAGAGAGGGGGAAAACCTGGTCACTTTGGGCACTTTTCAATATTTTCATCACCCTGAGGCCTGATTAAAGGCTGCTGTCTGAAATCCAACTCTGGAACACCTGAAGGGCTGGAGACTTCCTAGAAAACTGAGTTCTAGGTTTCTCTGGTTTTCTGGAAGAATCTGTGTGCCTGTCTGGTTTCTGAAAAGCTAAGTTTGAGTGGGGCTTTGGTTACGACCTGTGGTAGCTGGCCAAGCTCTCGCTGAGCCGGTTGTTGGGTATTTGTGTGGCAAAGGGCAAGGCTTCCTGATTGTCCTCCGCTTCCTGCTTCCAGGTAAGTTATTGTTCCTTTAAAGGGAAGTTGTGGGGAAGCGTGTTCTCTGAGTGTGGAGCCCACGCTCTAATCTATAATAGAATCATAATAGTAGGCCGTACAGGAAGTTAGCCACTGGGCAGCTGGCCCACAGGCTCCTCTGCATGCAGGCATCTGCACTCCTCAGAGCTTCTGTAGGGAAGACCCAGCTGGGTCAGCTGGCACTCACTTCCTTTCCAAGCCTGGGAGGGCTTGTAGTTACAGCCAGGTGTTGACTTCGTATTTTTGCTCCACAGTCTCAAAGCCAGACCTTCCTTGGGCAGAATAGCTTTGGGATTGATGGGCTATTTCTTCTCACTCAATGGGGTCCATACAAATTGGTGGGAGAGGAGGTTTGAGGGTAGACACCTGTTTTTCTGTGGTGACCGTTTGGTATAAAAACCATAGATGCTTTGAAGGCAAGCAACCAGGTGCTCTGTTTTCAGCCTCACCTGTAAGATTAGTGGGGTTCTGAGTAAAGGATACTATTAAAGAGGGAAAAGGAACAGATTTCATTCTAGCAATTAATTGGCCTTGAGAATTGGAGACAGAAGTGAGTTTATCAGCATCTTACTCAGTGCTGACTTGTGGAAATGGAACTGTGAGAGGACCGAATTGTCAGCACCCTTCTCACCTGTGTTTGCTTTCAGTGTCTGCCGTCACAGGGAGATCTCTGCCTCCTGGGGCCGAGACACCCAGCCCGCCCCCAAGCTGAAGCTGCAGGGCATTGAGGTACCAGCTAAATGTCTGCTCACAAAGGACCGGCGGTGGCACAGGGCAATGGGGCTCCTGCCAGTAACAGGGAGACCGACACGGTGGAGCTGGCTGAACTGGGGCCCCTGCTGGAGGAGAAGGGTGCCTGCGGCATCACTGACCCAGCCAAAGTGAGTTGTCTTTCCGGAGTTCCTTCCTCTGCCAGGAGTTCTCCTCAAACCTGCTCACTGTTTGAGGATCTCGTGGTCTGGAAGATGGAAGTATTTGGGAAATGGGGGACTTGAGAAGCGCTATTCTAGAGATTGGGGAGGGGGGGGCCTTCAGACTTAAAGAATGGGGGGACTATGTGCTGATCCTGTGTCCTCCCTCGTTCCAGCTCCCATCAGCCTGTCTCCTGGGTGTGAATTGAGCTTCACGCCAGCATTCACACAGCATCAGTAAACCTTGAACAGAGTGTCGTAAACTTAACTGTCCTGCCTCAGAGAAGAGGCCACAAGGCCCTGTGCACCAGCACTGCGTTTGGTTTCCCCAATACGGCTGACCTGAAGTAGCCCCGTGCAGGAGATGACTGCTGGGTTGGTTTGTGTGTCTTTTTTCACGCAGGCTGAAGAAGAGCAAGCATGCCCAGCGCCCCAGGAGGAGGAGGAGGAGGTGAGGGTCCTGACCCTCCCGCTGCAGGCCCACCATGCCATGGAGAAGATGGAGGAGTTCGTGTACAAGGTGCTGAGCGCTCAGGCCCGGAGGGGAGGGCGGTGGGCCTACGGTGGGCTAAAGACCTTCTGTTACTGCGTGTGGATTTGTTTTTGCTTAAGGTGCAGTAAATACCGGGCTAGCAGATTTTTACTGCCTGGTGTGTTAAAGCATTATTCAGAATATGTTCTGAGCAGGAGTGTTAGTGGGGGGCGGGGGGGAGACACCTTAAACAATAAAAATAAATAAGTAAATAAATAAAAATTTATATATGTTCTGAACAGGAGCTCTCAATTTTATTTTTTTTGCTGTGGATCCCTTTGGCAGTCATCAAAATATTAAAATGTGATTGGGCTCCTTTATTAATACATTAAATACACATTAATGACAAGCTTTAAAATATTATATTAAAATTTATGGGTTTTTTGCTGAGACCAGTTTGGCTCAATGGATAGAGCGTAGGCTTGGGGACTGAAAGGTCCCAAGTTCGATTCCAGTCAAGGGCATGTACCTTGGTTGCAGGCATATCCCCAGTAGGGGGTATGCAAGAGGCCGCTGATCAATGACTCTCTCTCATTGATGTTTCTAGCTCTCTATCTCTCTCCCTTCCTCTCTGTACAAAATTAATAAAATATATTTTTTAAAAATAAAAATAATAAAAAAATTCATGGTTTTTTAAATTATTATTATTGATTTTTAAAGAAAGAAAGGAAACATCAATTTGTTGTTCCACTTATCTATACATTCATTTGTTGATTCTTGTATGTGCCCTGACCAGGGATCAAACCCACAGCCTTTATGTATTGGGTAGCTCTAACCAATTGAGCTACCCGGCCAGGACAAAATTTATAAGTTCTAAGTAGTGATGAATAAAAATATTTTGATATCTGTAAAACTAATGTATGAAAATATCTGTGATTTCTGTTGATGACAGTCACAGTTCTAATCCCACTGTGGTTTGCTGCTCACACTTGTGATGGAGGGGAATGTTGAGTGTCCTGGATTCTGCTCGCTGTCCATGTGTCCTGAGTTAAGAGCCCCTGCTCCAAAGGACACTGTCTCAGCCTCTCGAGGGAAGGGCAGAGCAGGGGCAGCCAGCCTCTCCAGGACTGGGTCAAGGGGGCCACATGCATATTCATGTCCCACCTGCCCCAGGTCTGGGAGGGACGCTGGAGGGTCATCCCGTATGACGTGCTCCCTGACTGGCTGAAAGACAACGACTACCTGCTCCACGGCCACCGCCCGCCCATGCCCTCCTTCCGGGCCTGCTTCCGGAGCATCTTCCGCATCCACACAGAGACCGGCAACATCTGGACCCATCTGCTCGGTGAGCGATCTGGGCGGGAAAGGAGTTTTACAGCCTGTGTCTCTGGGAAGGAAGAACCATGGCTCTGGCCGGTGGGAAGCCAGTATTGCGCCTCCAAACTGCCAGTGAGCGTGGTCGGCTCTGGTCCTTGGTCTGTAAGACAGGCGGGGGCGGGGGGGGAAGATGAGAAATGGGAGAAGAAAATGCAACTAGGTGTGTTGTCTGGTCTCCCTGGAAGCTGGAGGCATGGAGACAGCTCCTTCCGTTTCCTGCGTTCCCTTTGTCACAGCAGAATGCCAGCACTTTCTTAAATGATCGTTTTGTCTGGGTTTATGTGCCTGGTGCCATTTTCTCCAGAAACTTTGGACTACAGTTCCCACAGCTAAACCCTGTCATGTCAGCGCTGACTTAACACCATCGATATGCACACCTTCCCTTCTTCCTCAGGCTTTCTTTTCTTCCTCTTCCAGGGTTTGTGCTGTTCCTGTTTCTGGGGATCCTGACGATGCTGAGACCAAACATGTACTTCATGGCCCCGCTGCAGGAGAAGGTGGTGTTCGGCATGTTCTTCCTGGGCGCCGTGCTCTGCCTCAGCTTCTCCTGGCTCTTTCACACCGTCTACTGTCACTCCGAGAAAGTCTCTCGGACTTTTTCCAAGTGAGTGGGAGACCTGAGGTTGGTGTGGTGGGAGGGGGAGGCGGGGGGAGAATACCAGGCCCTGCTGTCACGTCCTGTGACCCCTAAAGACACCCTGCTGTGCCAGAGGAAAGGCTTTCTAGCTTGTCGGTGAGGCTCATTTAAATCCTTCATGAAAAACTCACGGCAGCCTCAGCAGCTGGAACCCAGCTGCGGAGTGCGGTTCCCACTGCCTCGTGCTGTCCCGTGTGAGCTGGGTGCGAGTGGGCTCCTCTCAGGACCACGCACCCGGGTCACTGGGCGTGGCGGCGTGGCCTGTGCTGCTGTGCGCCTACCCGCAGCCAAGCGGCTTATCTCTGCTGCCCACACGTCGCTGGAAGCCCCGATGCCTGTCATCCGGTGCCTCCCGTAATCCCCGTGCTGAGCTGGAGTTCGTGTTTGCTTCTTGTTGTTGGTTTTGGTTTTGGTGGTGGGTTGTTTTGTTTTTTCCCCAATAACACCAGTAATGGAAATACATTTTTATCATTTAAAAGTCAATTAGAACAGCAGTACCCCTTAATATGACTCCCAATTTAAGGATTTGTTTTTAGAACTCAACTTGTCAGAGCTGGGGGGACAGTCAGAGCCCGCCCGAGCGAAAAGCTGGAAGCAGCTCCTGAATTTAAGTGCCCGGGGTGGGGAGGGGGGTGGCTCTTCATGACTGAGAGGAAGAGAGTTCCGAGGTTGGGACTCATAGCAACTCTTCACTGCAAAGACAGGTGTGTGGCCTGTGGGATTTCAATCCAGGATACAGATGAGAGACGGGCGATGGTCAGGTCTGCGAGCCAATGGAGAAGAGAAAACATAAAAACACAGCTGAACGAGCCATAGAAGCCTTCATTTCTCCACTGATGCGTTTTAATTCTGGCTCTCTTTCAGACTGGATTATTCAGGGATTGCCCTACTGATTATGGGGAGCTTTGTCCCCTGGCTCTATTACTCCTTCTACTGCTCCCCACAGCCACGGCTCATCTACCTCTCCATCATCTGTGTCCTGGGCATCTCCGCCATCATTGTGGCACAGTGGGACCGGTTTGCCACGCCTAAACACCGGCAGACAAGAGCAGGTGGGTACGAAGGTGATGTAATCGCACAACCTTGATCCTAATAGGCTCAACCTTAGGCCCTAAGATGGGCAGTTTGAGGACGCCCCTCAAACCCTGATTTGTGTTTGGAATCCTGAGAGCAGTGTTGTTGTTGTTGTTGTTATTAATTTAGAGACTGGGAGGGAGAGGAAGAAATGTCGATGAGAGATAAACGTTGATCGTATGCCCTCCACCGGGGATCAAACCCACAACCTGGGCATATGCCCTAAGCAAACTAGCAGCCTTTTGGTGCTTGGGACGGTGCTCAACCACTGAACCACGGCGGTCAGGCAACAGCATGGACTTTTAAAGCTCCATTAACCCCCAGGTTTCATATTTCATAAGCACGCTAATGAGCCACATTATGACCAAGTTTGTCAACTGGCTGCAAGTATAGGAATGACTGCTCTTACGAAAATGTACGGCCCTGGCCAGGGCGGCTCAGCTGACTGAGCATCATTCCCTGCACCCAGAGGTCAGCAGTTCCATTCCCAGTCAGGCTGTCGGTCTGGTCCCAGGTCGGGTGCATACGGAAGGCCTCCAATGGATGTCAGCCACTGGACCAGCTAAAGCCTGAGCATCTCTCAGTTGTGCCACCTACACTCCTCTCTCCAGCTTCATTACTTGCAGCAACACCTCATCATCATCTGGAATGTTGTAACTGAGTTAAAAGAATTAAATGTTCATCAAGCATCAGCACATGCTGGGCGTGGTGCTTTAACGAGGTATATCTAGGAGTGGAGAAGGTGGTCCCTGTCCGCCCCCACCCCAGACCCCCCCCCCTCCCCTGCTTCCCTGTTGTGTGCACTGCAGGGGTCCCCTTCCTCTTACCTCACTTGTCTGTCCCAATAGCTACAACAGCTTCTAACTTGAATGTCTGCCTGCTCAGGGCAGAGCCTGGCTACTTAATGTTTTCTGATCTTACAAGAAACTCCACTCCTCCCACCTCAAAGGCACCTGGAGCTTTGCCATCGAGTCCTGATGGCAGCAGAGCTTCGAGCAGGTGAAGGATGACTCATTCACCTGTTGTACCTGCTCGCAGATCTGATGCCCCAGAGGGTTTGGTCTGTCACTTTGCCTACCAAATAGCGATAAAAATGAGATGCTTGTTCTTGGTGCTGTTTAGAGGGTAATATCCTTATGAGCACTTTCACAGCCTTCTTCCCATTCCGGATGTTGAAGAAATAGCTGCTAACGGTTCTCCATTTTGTGGCCAAATTTCCTGAAAAGTAGCTGATGGCCATAGACACTTGAACTCCAGAGAGAAGCAGCAGTGTGCACCTCCAGGCAGCCGTCCCCGTCCCCTTCCTGACCGTCTTGTCTGCTCCGTGCAGGGGTGTTCCTGGGCCTCGGTCTGAGCGGCGTCGTGCCCACCATGCACTTCACCATCGCCGAGGGCTTTGTCAAGGCCACCACCGTGGGCCAGATGGGCTGGTTCTTCCTCATGGCTGTGATGTACATCACCGGGGCCGGCCTCTACGCGGCTCGGATTCCTGAGCGCTTCTTTCCCGGGAAGTTCGACATATGGGTAAGAAGCGGCCCTGCCGGCAGTGCCTGTGGTCAGGGACCGGCCCCAGTGAAAGGTCTGAGTGAAAGGCAGTACAGACATGGGGTCATGTAGTGTTTGGGGTACATATATGTACAGGGGAAGTAGGCAGGGAGGGGAGGTGATCAGGATGAATGTTTTGGTGTATTTCTATAATTATTTTTTTCAGAGAGGAAGGGAGACAGAGAGAAACAGAAACATCACGATGAGAGAGTCACTGATTGGCTGCCTCCTGCCCGTAACTGGAAATCAAACCATGACCTCCTGGTCCCTAGGTGGAGGTTCAACCACTGAGCCAAGCTGGCTGAGCTCTGATAAGACTTTTTAAAATTCCTAGCCCTGGCCGGTGTGGCTCAGTTCCTTGAGCATCCGTCCTGTGCACCAAGAGGTCGCTAGTTCAGTTCCCAGTCAGGGCACATGCCCAGGTTGTGCATACAATCCACCAGTCAGGGTCTATGCCAGAGGCAATTGATCGATGTTTCTCCCTCCCCTTTCCTCTCTCTAAAATCAATAAAAATATTAAAATTTTTTCATAGCAAATATATCATTTTTTTATATAAAACTTTGAGAGAAGTTAGATGAGGTAAGAGCTCTCTTCTCATGTCTGAACCCTCCTTGCCATCACCCTGAGGGTCATCTCTTGTTCCCCCAGTTCCAGTCGCATCAGATTTTTCACGTCCTGGTGGTGGCAGCAGCCTTCGTCCACTTCTACGGGGTCTCCAACCTTCAGGAATTCCGCTACGGCTTGGAGGGCGGCTGTACTGATGACTCTCTTCTCTGAGCCTCCCCGCAAGGCTGGAGGGGACCTTCCCAAGTGCTTTCAAAAATAACTTCCTTGCTGAAGTGAAAGGAAGCGTCTGAGTTGTCTGTTTCTAGAAGAAACCTCTTAGAGAATTCAGTGCCAGCCAGGCTTCAGCCCATCTTCCCACCTCAGGGCGGGGGAAAGCTTTCCATGCCCCTCGCGAGGAGGGGTGATCCACTGGCCATGCCTCCTCAGCAAGGCAGCTCTGTCCCCTCAGCACAGAGCGCTTTGAAGCTCACGTTGAGATTTTATCCCTCCTCCAACCATTTTGGGGAAAAATGATGGACTGGGACTCTTCAGAAATTTTTTCTGGAAGAAAACGTCCCTCCCTTACCCCCGTCCTTACTTTGTAACGTGGCTTAGAACAGGCCATCCATTTTGTAGCACACTTTTCAGAAATGATTGTAACTGGTCCCTCTGGGGCCTGGATCTGCTGACGGCAGGAAGAAGTCACCGACTTCGAGGCAGCAGCTAATCATGGGAGTGTGTCCAGGCTTCAGATAACTTGAGTTTCAATTTTTTTCTTGGCAGAGTAATGTAAAATGGGGAGAGATATTTAATATTTAATACTAAGCTTTAAAAAGAAATCTGCTATCATTGCTGTGTATCCTGATGCAGAGGCTACGATGATAATAAAAGGAAGTGCAGAAGACAATTAGCATTCAAATTCTTAACACGTGTGGTCTCAACTATTTGCACATAACTCCAAAGCATTAAAACCAGAAAAGTCACTTCAGATTCTGCAGAAGCACAGATTTGAATCAGGATTGACAGGCTGGCCTATGCAATCCAACGAATCAGCCCAACTGATTTCCAAGCATCCGCTCCTACGTACGGCCTTACTTTTCTCGATTATTGCACAGGCTTCTACTAGAGAAATTATTCTGAAGTAGTATTTCATAATGAAATGCTTCTCAAAGGTATTGGGGTATATCCCTGTGACTATCAAAGGTCTGCTGTCGATCACTCTAGAATTTAGTTCTTTTAAGGATGGCTCATCCAGAGGCCGTTCCCTTGCCTCTCTCTGCCTTTGACATCGTACTCTACCTGAGAGGAGTTGTGTTTGTGTGTGCGCCCCGCAGCCGTCACTTCCAAGCGAATGTCCACAGAAGGCAGTCTTCTCGTTACAAAGATGGATTTGTTCAAGATTTAAGTTTGTGCAATTGGGAGAACAAATTACCTTTTAAAAAAATAATCCAGCTAGGCTGACAAACAGGAAACTTGCTCAGCCTCGTGGTAGTCAGGGAAACGTAAATTAAAACCAAAGTGATAAGCCATTTCACTACCACCAGATTGGCGCACCTTAAAAACCATACTACTGAGCGTGTGTGGATGGGCAGCAGACCAGGAGCTACGTGGTAGGACCGGCTCTGTCGAGGGGCAGGGAATATGGATGTGTGTTGCAACATGCAAACACTGCGGGAAATGCCACCTTACAATATGAGATGTATCTAAAATTCATCCTAAATTCATTCATTTCAAAAAGGTTGGTTCTGGCACTGGCACAGCAGCTCAATTGGTTAGGCTTGATCCCCAGTCGGGACATATCCCACAGTTTGAAAACCACTACTCAAGAAACAGCAGGTAAAAAGATTCATTGCAGCTTTGACTGGTGTGGCTCCGTTGGGCATCATCTAGTGCACCAAAAGTGTGCCGATTCGATTCCCGGTCAGGGCACGGGCCTGGGTTGTGGTCGTGCAGGAAGCAGGCCACTGACATTCAGCATTCACATCTCACATCCATCTTCCTCTTTCCCCCCCACCCTCTTTCTAAAAGTCAATAAAAATGTTTTTTAAAAGATCCATTGCTGCCGACTGTATTAGCAGTGCACTAAAATGAAGCCAAATGTCCAAAACTGTTTGCTGGAAAAGTAAAATTTATTCATATAACAAAAGACTAGTGAAAGTTAATTACAGTGACAAGTGACAACACAGGAAGGAGGGAGGGAAGCAGCTTACAGAACATAACTGGTCTGATTGCATCTCTGTAAAGCTCAGAATTTTGCAAATTTAACGATAATTTAAGGACACAAATATGGCGAGAATTTAAAAGGGATTTCAATTCAGAAATAAACGGTTACCCTAGAACAGGAGAAAGGGAGGAGGACAGGCTATTTCATTACCGTAGCTTGTATTCAAGAACCCGGATGTTCTTTAAACTGTGATTGCTTTTCTTGTATATATGTAATAAGTATATTTAATAAAAACTTTTAAGTTTTTAAGAAGACTTGAGCTGACAGCAGAAGCCACAGTGGTTCACAAACACGCTTTGGCCTGCAGTGGGAAATCAATATTTCTGTCCCCAGTGGGCTAGGAACTAACCCTTAGGAGGCATGGCCTGGCCTGAATATAAATTCAGGGATGAATTTCAGAGCAGCAGCTGGGGCCCTGCTTTGATTATATTAAGTGAATAATTTTTATTAAGTTCCTCCTCACATTGGAAAAAAAATTTATTTAGCATCCACATTTATAAAACAATGGTTTACGTTTAAAATTGTACATATTTTTAATGCACTGAAAAGTTCAAAAATCACAAAGTCAGCAAGGGGGAAATCTCCCTCCCATCCAGGCTCCCAAGCAACCAGTTCCTCTCTCCAAAGAAACTGAAATTACCACTTTATTTTGTATCTTTCTGAGGGCATTTTATACATATACATAGACAGGAACATTCTCCCAACGTTTCTACACAAATAGTAGCAAACTATACGTAGTGTCCACGACCTCATGGTATTGTACGGATATATGTACTTGACTGAACCAGTCCTGCACACACATCACTGTCCATGTGCAAGAGTATTTACGAAGGATAACTTCATTAAAGGATGTCTGCACTCATAATTTCAGTGACGTTTTCCAAAATGCGTCGTCAGGGCCTTCCCACTCTTCTCCCACCTGGCGTGACGGCTCCAATAGGACTTGTAACTGTCCTGCTCTCCCACCTACCATGTCAGGGATCATTTGGGAGCACAGAGAGAGGATGTGAGAGATGGAAATTCCATGGAAAACCAGAATGCTACTCTCTCGGTCGGCTATGGTTTATCTCTACAGAGTCACAGGCATAGGGGCTTCATCACAAGGAACAACAACAGGCTGTAATTATTGGAATCCAGAGTCTAGGTCAGTGGTAGGCAAACTCATTAGTCAACAGAGCGGCGAGCCGCAGTTTGCCGACCAGGGCACTAGGCTAAGGACACTCAAATCGATGAGAAGCAAAACGTCCAGACTGACTCGCTCAGCCCGGGGAGCGGGGGCGGTGAGGACCGAGGCTTCCGACGCGCAGTGACAGGGGGTGACGGCGGGCGCCGCGGCCAGGGTCCGCCCGAAAGGCCCCGCTGGGCACCGGCCTGGGAGAACCTGGGCGCCTCCGTGGGTTTTTCCCGACGGGAGCGGGCTCCCGGGCGTCGCGCGGGGAAGACGTACAGCCATCAGCTACGGGAGAATCGCTGCCCGGCCTCCCCGCCCACCCCTTCCCGCTCCGCCCGCAACGGGCCCGCAGCCACCGGGCGCCGGGTCCCGGGTGGGTCACGTGATCCGGTCCGGCTCGCGCGCTGTGCGTCATCACGTCGCGCGGCCCGCTGGCCCTGGCGGTCACGTGATGCTGGAAAGGGTCGGCCTTTGAGCTGAAACGTCATCACGTCGCGCGGCCGCGGGGCCGACTGAGCGAGAGGAGCGAAGGGACGGCTCCCGAGTCTCCGGGTCGGGGCGGCGGCGGCGGCGGCGGCGCCTGGGTTCCTCCTGAGCCGCCTGCTGGCCGCGCGCCCCCCTCTCGACCCCAGCGGCGGGCGCGGGTGAGCTGGTGGGCGGGGCGCCCGGTCTTCTCCGTCCGTCCGTCCGTCCGTCCGCCCGGGCGGGCCTGGCCCCCACGGCCCTTTCCGCGGGGACCGGGTGGCGGGGCTCTCCGCCCCTCGGAGGGCACCTCCTCCTGCGGCGCCAGCGGCCGGGGGCTTCCCCGCTCTTCTCCCCCCTGGGCCGTGGCGGTTCCGGAGTCTGACGCCGCTCCTGAGCCTCCGGCGGGGAAACCCCATCCCGGTGTCCGCGAAGTTCCTGGGGGAGTTGGGGGAGGATGCTGGCCTCGCTCCGGAGGCCGAGCCCCACGCTGCACCACAGCGACCCGGTTTGACCCTGAAATGGTGCAGCCCAGCCCAGGGCCGGGGGATCCCCCTTCCTAGATCCCCGGAGTTTGCACCCGAAGCTGGGAAACAACGTCCGCTGGGGTGACACACCCCTCCTCTGTCCCCTGGGTCTGCGGGGCTGAGGGAGGGGCGGTGAGGGGAACCGCCCGGCCGGCTGTGAACGCCGCCGTGGTGGGGATTCAGGATGTCCTGTGTGCTCTTCAGAGATCGCGGCTGTGAGCTGTGGGCTTGTGGTTTGGTTTGGTTTGTTATTCTTGAATCATCTGTGGAATCCAAAAAAGATAGTCTCTTAGTAACCACCCCATTTCATGCCCCACAAGTTGTCGTTAAAGAAAAATGTAGCCGAAACCGGTGTAGCTCAGCGGATAGAACGTGGGCCTGCGGATTGAAAGGTCCCAGGTTCGATTCCGGTCCAGGGGATGTGCAGGAGGCAGCTGGTCGATGTTTCTCTCTCATCGATGTTTCTAGCTCTATCCCTCCTTTCTCTCTGTAAAAAGTCAATAAAATATATTAAAAAAAGAAAAAGAAAAGTGTAGTGTGGCTAAACCCCATCAATAATCGAGAAAGTACTTATTACTTTGGCTTCTTTTAAATGTGGAATCTGTTGCTGAGTTTATTTAACTGACGCGTACAAGTGACTGTGGCAGAAAATGAGAAGTGAGTTTTGGTTAGTTTCTGTCCTAGTAAGGCTCTTTGTTTCAGTAGAGGAGAATTTCTACAAATGCTGACTTGCTGGTGTTGATGGACATCTATTAATGATGCAGAGAAGGGAGACCCTTCCGTGAAAGGTTTGTAACAGCTTAGCCAAGTGTAAGTCCATAGACAGGCTTGTGTGGTTTCCATGGTCCAGTGTAGGCACTGGGTCCTCAGTGGGTCCAGGTATATTTGGAAATCTTCATACAAAATTCTCTGCATTCTTCTTTGGGGGGAGAGGGGGTGTTATTTTTGCTTGCTCTGGCTTTTATTGCTCTAAGTTGAATACCCAATTCTTTTTTTTTTTTTTTTTTTTTGCATTCATTTACTACATATTTATTGTACACCTGCGGGTGTGATTCAGTGGATAGAGCGTTGGCCTGGGGACTGAAAGGTCCTGGGTTCGATTCCCCGTCAGGGTATATGCCTGGATTGCCGGCTTGATCCCCGGTAGAGGGCGAACAGGAGACAGCCGGTCAATGATTCTCTCATCGTTGATGTTTCTCTCTCTCCCTCTCCGTTGCTGTCTGAACTCAATAAAAATATATTTTTAAAAAATATATGTATATATACACAATGGGTCCCCATCCTCTAAATACTTACCCATTTAAACCTGCTTATGGATATTCGATAATAGTGATAGAGGGCTTTAAGCAATTTTATTTTTCCATCATCTCAGACAACAGCCCTGTAAAGCTCTGAGGGACCTGGATCGTTTCTGTTCAGAGCTGAGTGATGATGATGAGTGCCAAGTGGCGGGGGCACTCTGGGAATTCAGGGGGGAGGCATTCTTTCTTGGGATGATTGGCGGCTGGACTGTGGGGGTGATGCCAGGAAGAGTGC